GATTCAGTTGAAGGGAGCCCGGGTGGTGATGGCGATTCTGGAAATGTTCCCGGGATGTGATATGGTGAGAAAGACGTTGTAACATTCGACTGAGAATATTCGTCCATCTCCATGTCTTCGAGCGCACCGGACATCAGGGGCTCGAAACAGGATTGATGAGTGACACCGGACATCAGGTGATCATCTTCAGGTGAGGAAACAAAAGCACCTGGGCCCTGGTGTTCAACACCGCCTGGTACGTAGTTGACAATGCATTCATGGTTGATCAATGCGGCTTCTTTGAGCGTAGCCGTTGGTCGTGCCCTTGGTGGAGTGACCGGTATGTGCGTACGGCCTCCTGGTGATGTAGGAGAGACGCGGCGGATGATGGGAGATCGGCGATGGTGAGGTGGGACGTGGTGGCGATGCCTTCGAGGAGGTGGAGAAGGAACAAATGCTTTCCGAGTGACTTCGACAAGGCGACGTTTGGCAGAATCGCCAACGCGAACAGCAACGGTGGCAGTGTGAACGTAAGCATCGCCCGCCAATTCGCAGCTGCTGAAGACAAGCAGCGCGACTCCGTAGATGATCCACTTGACCCACTCCGGAAGGTAGTAGCCAATGGGCTGTCGTGGCTGTCGCTGGATGATTGGTTGAAGGATGACATTGCCGTCGAAATCGGTAACATATCGAGCGGGGCGGCCGTTGAAGTCTATGAAAGGTTCCACCACTTCCGTGTGATTTCGAAGTGTGTCAGTGACTCGATAGCCTGAATAGTCTTCATTCGGGTGATATGGTTCGTTTGTATCATTGTAGGTATCGAAGGATCTCTTTCGCCATGGGCTTGAAGCTGGTTGGATGATGTGGAGTGAGGAGTCCTCTTCCCAGTCCATGCGATCGCTCCCTGGGCTGCTGTCCATGATGGACGATGGCCGATGACGCGGTGGGTTGAAATGTCGGATTGAAGAAGGTGCGATGAATGTATCATGCGCAATTGCTGAGGAAGGTGTGGTGCATCACATGTGATTGATGTGGATGATGGACGATGAGGAAGGAAGTGAGAGGAAAAGCCAAGGATTTGTTTTTGTTTTGACGGAGATTATTATTAGTACGAGTAAGGGTCATAAGAAGCTGGTAAAAAGGGCAGGAGCGTTCTTGGCAACTGCTTTGAACATTGCGACCTGGCACTGATGTCAAGTAAAGTATGAGAGAGTTTGAGAGGGATTAAGGTACAGTATTAAAGCAGCATACTTTTACCGCATACTTTTACTCTACGGCAAGTTTGAAGCTCAAAGACGTACTTTCCTTTAAACCTTTTTTTACCCGAACGGACACTAATGCAAGTGAACCTCCGAAGACCTCGTGTCACAGCCCACAATCGATCGGCAGCATTCCCGAAGAGCCGCAACTCAAACATGAAACAGTCCTAACTTACATGAGGTACCTAAATACCTACCTACCTCATGTACCTTACGCCTGCTGCAAGACATCAAGCTAGGAGCCTACCAAAGTGGGCAAGTTTCAGGGTTTGAGACCCAAAAAAACTTGCACATTTTGGACTCAATGTCAACAGCACATTCAAACATTAGATTCGGCTTGGCTTGCGATAAAGCAGCCTTCAAGAGGTTCCTAATGCTATATGTGCTCATGGATCCTTCCAAAATACAATCCAACTTCCGAAGCGCCTCCAACCGTCGTCGTAAAATGTCGTAAAAATCATGTTCATACAATCATGGAAGATACCATTACCGGTCCCTTTCAACCGCCAAACGTCAATATCATGGCCTCGCTCACAGCGCCAAGCTGCAATCATCTCGAAGAGTATGGCTTGTTCATGGCCGCGATCTCTCTCGCAATCGTCGCCCATTCCAGCTCTCGTTTGATTGGCTCGCCTCTTCTTTGCTGGCAGATTTCATCCCATTTCAGCAGCTCGTAAGCGAAACGTAGATGTGGCTGTATGATGACGTTCAGCCGTCGTGCGCGTACGTAGCAGTAGGCCCGTGGGAACGAAAGGCCGTGTGACGCCATCACCTCTGCTATGCAGATGGTTGCTGAGCGAGAGACGCCAACACGGCAATGGACAAGCGTTGCTGTTCCATCGCTCTTGCCTTTGGCTAATTTCGTCTGGTCAGCTTTGCTCAACCAGCGCATGGGACGGGAGAGCCTTCTTACCAATGAAATCCAGACACCGCTCAAAGTCCTTCATCAAAGGATCAACGCCATTATCTTGTACCCTGTCGATGAAGAGCAGACTCTTCTGCCCCCAAGCTTCGATCTGGGCTTTCGTCCAATTCGCAGGCTCCCCGACGCTCAGTACCCTTTTGATGCCCATCTCCTTCAACAGATCTGGATTATTGGCATGCCCCAGGTTTCCGAGGTACATGTAGGGGAGAATGCGACTCGGCAAGCTTCCATCTATGCGTGAAATCCATGCGGGCTCCTCCTGTGCGGCTTGAGAGCGATCTCTAGTCAGAGACAGCGTCGGGACAAGACGAGGTTGCAGTGAAGCCAACAAGGCAACATCGGATGGATAGGCAAAGAAGTTGCGCTTCTTCTCGCAGTGCAGACGTAGCCAAGCTTCATGCACAGCCACCTGCTCGGCATACATGAAGTATGCGAGACCAAGAAGCGTACTTTCTGTGTAGCCATCTGTGCAATGTATGAGAAACTTTCGAGGTTGAGGAAAGATCGGCTTCATTGGAATATCTCCATCTGAGTCATTCTCCTCATCTTCGCTGGCATCCGGCGTGTTGTTAGGGTTCGCGAGCTTGTAGATCCATTGGCACATGGTCTTCAGTGGGTCGGATCCCTTTTTGGTATGTGCTTGAGGCATGATACTCCCTGACGACGGATATTCGAGATGCTGTGGTACTGAGTAGCTCAGCTCCCCGATGCGCTTGAGCGTATGAGTATCTGGAGGCTGTGCTAGATCATTGGCTTCAACGAGTATGTCAAATGCAGGTTCATCATCGTTTTCTAATGGAGGGCAGAGCAACGAGTCTGGCGTTGGGCCTAGCCATACGTTTCTAGCAATTTCCGAAGCCTTCGACATGTTGCACATTTCTTGTCGCTCCCAATGAACTGGCAACTGTCAGATAATGGCCAAACAAGGCCATTTCAATACTTACAGAAGTCCATCACTTTGCCTGTCGTCTGTCCCTGGGAATCCACAGCCACGATATCCGGATAATTTTGCTCGACTTCTTCGAACGAACCTGCCAGTGGTCTTAGAAATAGTCTTGCTATTTGGTGATAGACTGAGACTCACTAGACATTATGAAAGTATTGAAAATTGGCACATGCTCATCTCCGCTTCCATTCTTCACTTGCCACGTACTTTGGGCTGTCGCGAAAACCTTCGCCAGATCGTGTATCTCTTCTGCTTCGGTCTCAGGGTCGCCGTATAATACGATATCTGACACGGTGGCCATCTTCGTTGCTTGTATTTGAAAGTTCCGGACCGAGAAACCATCCTTCGGGTCGACCTCGAGAAAGCTAGCATCTTTTCCGTTCTTGAGGTCCAATATCTCGTCCGCGCTGACCGCACCTTTCAGCCTTGCCTTTGTGAGCTCGCCCCCAACTTTGACGACTGTGATACCTCGAAAACATTGCGGTGTTTTCCGTAGAGCTTTACGACGGGCAATGAAGAAAGCCAGCTGAACCTGATTTTCGGCGTGCAAGCCATGAAGCCAGGGGAAGGCAAGCTTTGGATCCGGGAAAAGCTGCGTTGCTTGCTCGTTGATCGCTGCGGCTAAAGTAAAGGCATCAATGGAAAAGACTGGGGGTTTATCGATGATCTGAGGATAGGTGTCCGCGGGGTGAAGCAAGGAGAAAGTCTGTAGGCCTGAGTTTTTAGTTGGTGGAGAGGCAGGGGGTGAAGCCAGTTGCGATTTTCCGGGTGCTGGACCGGCAGGACAATAAGGAAGGTGTTTGTTCGGTATTGGAGTAGAGCCAGGTCGAGATGTGTCAAGACTCAGTGCCGATGTCTCAGGCGGAGGGGTCAAAGAAGCTCTCGATCCTGGCTGGTGGATGACTAGTGTCGACATCTTATGCTCTCATAGGTCACGAAAAGTCCGGGAGCGGGTTTGTGAGCCCTCTGGGGCTGTCGTGACCTCAAGCTCAGCGGTGGAACTTGAGCTCCTAGTCCCCCTGCTTATGGAGACTGGTAAATGCTGCAAAGCTCTAGGAATGAAGAGTCGGAGCTAGAGCGTAACTAATAGTAGCTGGCCCTGTCAGAGCATGAATGGGATGTTAGACAATGTACGTGGGCGTCGTGGTCAATGGAAAATTGAAGGTAAAGTATGTTGTGAGAACAAGGTCAAGAGGAAGTCGCTGGACTTTGAGCGTCAGCCGGACCCAATATTTATAATAACGGTACGAAAATATGCACTACGAATTGGTTGAGTGAAGGATACTTGTCGTACCTACCTGGCTCCTGAAATGGGCAGGGTAATTAGAAAGTATGGCATCATTCAAGGAATGTTACAGAAGCTAGATGATAAGAGAAGTGAAGACGCCAGGGTATTAATGGAGATGGAAAAGTGAGAGCAAACAGTAATGAGACAGTCAATTGAGCATAGATGAAAGGGAAATGTGATGGAGAAAGGTATCATAAAAAAGTTGCCAGCAAACGAGCAGGTCCGAGATATCGAAAAAGTGGGGCTGGCGGGGTCATCCTTAGCTCCCGTCGCCTAGTAGTAGCTGGGCCATCCTCATCCATGATCTCCAGGATGCATCATCGCAAAGTCAGGCAAGAAAGTCAGGTATTCAACGACGACTTGCAGGCGCACTGCTGCACTGGGACTCAATGCATACCGCTGAATGGTCCACGTTCCCTGCCTGTTTGACGCGTCCTTCACACTAAACCACGCTGATCCTCTGAAGCATGGCCAACCAATTCTTTGACGAGGCTGCATCGACCGATTTAGGCTCAAAGATTAGGCGTCTGTGGGACTTGGCTGCAGACAGACCACCCCCCCGCAGATACGAGGATTCGCTTATGATGGCGGTTGGTGTCTTGATCAGGAACTATAGCTTTGTGCCTTCTCTTTCAATTCATCAGCCAGGCGCTCAAGATAGAACTTGCCCATGTCTCGAGGTAATTTATCGAAAGACTTCGAGATCCTTTCAACATCTCTTCTACCCTTTTCGTAAGCTTGTAAGTCGCGATTGCCATAAACATCCCTTCCAGGAGCATAGCCGGTATCGATGTTGCGAAAGAAAACATTGACAGAAATGCTGACATTATCGAGAGGGGAGGCAGTGTGCAGCCAAAGTGGAGGTATGAATAACACGTCTCCTGGTTGAAGCAACGCTTCTTGTGGATGCCCCAGAGTAAGTGAAGGATGTCTATTCGGTCCAGTGTCAAAGCAATTTATTGAAGAGCTCGAGGTGCCAGGAGGAATGGAGAAGAGCGACACGTCAGATGGAGGATACAGAATTAATCGCTTGCTACCATGTATCTGACAAAGGACGTTTGCCATGACGTCGTAGTGAAGCCACATCGTAACAGGCCCTGAAATTCGGAGGACGGAGCTATGCATTTTATCTTTCACGATGCCAAGTTGCAGCGGCAGTCCGAAGCTAGAAGCAAGTTCAGGGAAGTCAACAGATATATTGGCGGCTTTTCCAGCTGGGTCCTCGGACGAGAGGGATCGTAGATATTGTGGAGAGCCTCCGGTAATCTCATCTACGAAATCCTTGAACGGCTTCTTGGCGTATTTGAAGTTCTTGGACTGGAAATCCAGGTATTTATCAGAGCCTTCGTGGACCACGACAGCCCTGTCTCCACCGATCTTCGCTGTGAGATATGGTAACGTCCACTCCCCCATCCACAAGCCCATATCTATGTTCCTCATAATGACAGGCTGCCCGTCGTTCAAGATCTGTTCGAAATCTTTGGACGATTGAATTTGATCATCTCGTGGGACAGTACCTGCGAAGTTTGCTGGTTTGAGAATATCGCCCGCGGCTTTCCGTCCTGAGAACAGGTCAATCCCCCGTGTAAGTACTTCTACTGGGGGTCCTGGCGCTCGATCACGACTCGATATGTTGAGTATAGTTTCATTCCAGAAGGTCCCAAATGAAAAACAAACGGCTCCGCCTCCAAGAATATTAACAGCGTCTAACGATGCGAAGGTGCTGTGGCCGATAAGCAAGGGCCGCTGTCCGGTGGCGTGGATATCAACTGGGGCCCATTTCCAGATGCTCTTTTGGTCGTCATTGGTGTTCTCCCGGAGAAGTTTGATAACCTCAAGGCTTTGGGGAATTAAGTCTGAAGATACACCACCCACGAGCAAGAGCCCAAATCTCGAATTGATAAGGGATGCACCCAATCTTCCTATAATGGAATGGCTATCAGGTCCGGAAAATACCATACGACTCAACGATATGCTGAGCTCTGATACGTCACCAGAGATAGTCCATTCCCAAGCTTCTGAAAGGATCTTGCCGTCATTGGCCATCCCACCTAGTAGTATTCCCCTCCTAAAGCCAGTCTCTTGCATAACGGCACCGAACCTAGGCTTCAAACTATCGCCCGTAACCGGAGTTGTAACCCACCCAAAGCCCTTGCGCCATAGTAGCCATTGGTCGGAAACATGGCCGGCTCCGGTCTTACCCCCGTAGATGAGTAAAGCATTGTCGGAGGAATGGCTTGGGTTCTCCAGCGCAATTGTAGTGGCACAGTGTCTGAACAAGGGGATTGGAAGGTCTTCTACTCTCTGCCAGTAATCTTTGCCAGATAACCAACAGTCCTGAAATACGTGGTCAGGAGACGCTCTTCCACCTGCAACGAGGAAGCCAAGACGATCAGAGGTGATTGTATGGCACATCCGAGGCTCGATACTCTCTAATTGTTTGCATTTCTTCTCGAGTACAGCGATGTTGACAGAATCCGGAGGACCCATTCCGGGTAGCATATAGACATCTGTTGTACCGAGCCTGGTTTGGAGACCTAGACCACCGTGATGTCCGAACGTGTTTTGAGAAAGTGGAGTCAGAGCCCCGGACCTTCTTCGGTGAGAGCAAGGGAAAGCTTCGCACTGTAGTGTCAAGGGAACTTCCACCGGTAGACTCGCAAATGTAACGTGATTTGGATCCCACAGGTGTCCTAGATATGATCGATCGACGCCGGTCGAAGACGACGTGTTTGCGGCTAGGAGAAGGAAGTAGTGAGATGCAAAGAGGACAAATTCCTCCCATTCGTCAAAAGGTTCCACGTCATTGAGGACTAGCCTTCGATCCGGTGACACAAAAAGATCGTCGCTCCATAAGTTCCACAGGCTTCTTACACTTACCGAGGACCATCCCGCTCGAAGGAAACGCTGTTCTTGGTCTGCTAACTGCGGGTATTGATGAACAGATCTTAACGGCGTCTGAAGATTGTTGAAATGGCGGATCATCTTCTGTGCAAATGGATGTTCCGCACCAGCGGGTAAATACTGCTCAAGGAGACAGAAGCGTACTGCAGTACATCAACAACCAAATCAGCAATAGTCTGCATACGTATCTCTTCACGTACTGTCATCGTGAAGAGCCGCCCATCGAATGAGAGAATCTGCTGCATTGGTATCCATGTAAGTGATAGAAACTTCAGCGGTGCAAAGCACTAGACAGTCTGACATTCGGACCTCGCTCGCGAGTAGCATGTCAAGCCTAGTCACATCCGCAAGATCACATCCAATAGCCAAATAATGTTCACTGCGTAGAATAAGACCCTTAGGATCCAAAGGTCGATCATGAGGACCAAGCAAATCTTGGAGTTGCGATGTATTGCAAATGACATCGCACTTCTTCTCCATCAAATCCGGGTAATCCACGTCCACGAAGGTGACATTATGACATCTTGCTAGATGCTTCGAAAGCCACTGGAAGGGTACGGGATCACTATTCGATGATCAGTCTGTCACAAAGACTCGAATATTATAGCTTCTTGCTTACTACCCACATCCAAGATTCAAGACTATCTTTTTCTTCTTCGAAGGCTCGTCAAGGAATTGCTTGATGGCTTGTTCAAAGGCATGCATTCGCAGCCAGTAACCACGGCCAATCAATGGTGATCTCCTCCGAGGTTTCTTGACAAAGTAGCGGTAAAAATGTGGCTCCTGGTAGTACAAGCGCTCAACACTTCTCTTGGAGACGATAGAACTATTATTCGTGTCCATTACAGAGGCATCCGCCCTCGCCTTTCGCGATTTCGGGCGTTGCTGACCTGCCATTATGGTCTTTAAGTGAAGTCTGCTCACAAGAGTCGCCGTCGAAGATTTCGGGTGTGCTAAAGTAGGTACGGTACTAGTACTATAGTACCCTCTATTGTGCGACAACCGAGGTAAGTGCGTGGCATGATTACCTTACCATGATTAAGGTAGTCTACCGGCAGCGGGGCTACTTTAACCTTCAGTTACGTCTGAGGTAGTCAAAAATCACATCATCTCTCAGGTATCAGAATCAGTAGAGTAGAGGGAAACACGGCCAAAGGCCCATAACAGTGAATACACTATACCAACCGTCGCCTCAGTTGGCTTTGCAAAGACCAACTGCTCACAATTAATATTAGCCGGTAGCGAGATCCGATAGAAATGGTCAAATGAATAAACTGCAATCAAAGTCGTGGTGAGACAATTTTTGATCAATGACTGCAGCAGGCGCCTTTGCTTCGATGGAGAAAGGCACACAAAGAGACACTCCTTGGCTAGTATGAAAGTACCAAGAACACATCCTAGCATCAATGTCGGCAATGTGTATCACATCCTCTGTTGTTCGCGAGTATCCTTCTCACAGGACATTATTGCTTCTGCCAATGTACCCATTATAGCCACGATATCAGAGTCCTTCTTGTTTGTGATTTTGGTACCTTTATACACCGCCCAGCTTTCCAATTATCTTTGAAAAGCCATAATAGTGCGTTGAGGTGTCGTGTGCTTCTTGGAGCTGCAACTTGTCGTTCGAACGCTCAATCATCAATGACCAATCCAGCCTCTCCACGTTACATCCACATTGACCACCCTACGGAGGGATTGGCCAGTCATGCAACAGGCGATTTTGGCGACTCTACTTCTCTGCACTATCGGTATGGTTAACAGCGCTCCGGCCACCACTGCAAACGTCATTATCGGGATACCAGATGGACAGCTTCAGAACTTAATCCTTACCCAATCGACCCTCTGGCTCTTCAAGGCAACAGATATTGCAGGCCACGAAATCATCTACGTAGGCTCCGTGGGTTTCAACACTCTTGTATCTTCAACGACCGAGCTTCTAGGCGCAGCGAAACTACACGCAACTACAACCAATGCGGCTGGCTCGACTATAACAGGTGTAGCCGAAGTCACGACTGCTAGCCAAAGCAGAATAACGATTATAGTACCCGAGTCTGCTGTTTCAAGCCTGTCGTCAACGCCGCCAATCTTTGCTTCTACATCGGTAGATGCCAATGTGCAGCCCATCACCAATCTTGGACCAATCTTTGTCAGATCCAATGAGAGCACTTCCACGGTCATCCTGGAAGATGCCCTCTCAACGTCTCACCTCACCACGTTGGACTCTCAAGGCTTCACGATTGTCGAGGTTATAGGAGTGTTCACTAAACCAAACGGCAATGTGGTCACTACCGCCCTGTCTTTCGCGGGCAGGATTCCTTCGCTTGCGCTATCTAAGGCCACTGCAACTGCATCCTGCCTGTCAGGCTGTGTCGACTACGACTGGCTCTCAAACCTCATTCGGAACACTCTCTGGCAAAAGGTCAGGGCCTGCGACCGGTACAGCAGCTAGGACATCCTTTTCTTCCAACGCGAGTAACGCACGAGACACACCCTTGAGTCCAGATGGGTTGCGGGGCAGCTTGATGGGAAATGTGCAAAATGCCTCTCTCGCAACTTTTCAACAAAGAAGCTCATCGCAAGAACCCGCCATTTTGAGGGCTTCCTCATTCTCTACCATTTCTATGTCCTTAGTCTCGTTGTCACAGTCATCAGCTGCGTCGACTGGGAATCCAAAGGATCTCGCTGATGGCTTTTCATTGACTCACGCCTCCTGTGAGTCGACGCTTACAACTAGTACTATTGGCACTCCTAGCACGACCGCCAGTGCACGGTCAGCCTCCGACAGAAATTCTACAATGTCAATTTTTGATAACATAGCTACAGCAAGTGGGTCAGCAATAGCTGAAGGCACCAGGGGGGGCAACCGTACAAGCAGCAATCAATGTCGCGGTTGATACTACGATATCAATGACTGACAAGGCACCTTCGACGTACTCAGTCAGAGCGCGCAGCAACAGCACGATTTTACTCTCAACTGCTGGTGTTGGAGGCCTACTTTTGGCTGTGCAATCTGATAGCGCGATTCTGAGGGGTAGCTCCGCTCTGTTGGGGGAGCAATTGGCCACCATTTCCACCATACCCCCAGAATTGTCAATCCAGACCGTCACCGGCACGACTTGTTCTGTTGCTTTTGTAATGGTAATAACCACGGCGTCTGGCAGCACAGTCACTCGGATTTTTCCGGAATTATGGCACAATGGAGCCGCATTTTTCCTTTTTGGACGGACTGAAATACCACAAATATGTTCATGGAGACTTGCTCTCTTTGGATTCGTCCTTCATCTCATTCGTGATCCTCAAACCGGCCAGTGTCCCGTTGGTGTTGATATCATAACCGGTCCTCCTCCGTCCTCAGGCTCGACCGAAGACTCGACAGAAAATCCAAAAGATGATACACAGCATGAAGACGATAAGCCATCCAACACTCAAGACTCATCTAATCGTGCGGCTTCTACAAGCTCTCCCTACTCAGTGACCTCGTCCCAAAGCAGCGCTTCCCTGGCTTCCTCAACCGGAACAAGTTCGGCTACCACTGTGACTTCAAGGGCATACTTCGGCGTATCAACAGTGTTTGGAACGTCAATAACCTGCTGCGATAACTCTACCATCATCGGCACGACTACTCTTTGCAACTACCAAGTTGACTTCTGGGTAAAAATTTTGGGCCCATTCGTAACGACTTCCATTCCGATTCCCGCTTCCGCAACTCCAATTTTGATGCCTGGGACGTCGATTATAGTCAGCAGTGCGACTCTTCACGCATTCTATTCCTCTCTCGCCTCTCAGATAGTTGTTTACGCGGCCAACTTGACGTCACGACGTCCGCAATATCACAGAATCGTTCAATCCCTACATCCACAGCGTCTGTAACAGCGGCACCGCTGGGTGTCGATAGCGGTCTGCTAGGAGTACTCAAAGGTGGTACAAGCGCCGGCGAGGCAGAGCAAGCACTATCAACAGACTCTGCCACTCCAACATTAATGTTGACAGCAGACAGTAACCTCGTGGGATTAATCCAAAGTGCCGTATGTACCGGAGAAGCCACGCCACCAAAACTAACTCTCGCTTGCACACAATACTTCTTCTACCCCAACGACGGACCGAACGCCTTCCTCTGCCAATGTAACGACGGCACTTGGAGTCACCGCGTCAAACAAGACAGCTACTCGTTGTGCCCCAGCCAAGTCACAACCGTCAGCATGAAAGTAGCCTACTACGCAGAAACCACCATTCCACCTAGCGTCTCATGCACCCTCGTCTATTGCGATCCCTGCTCGGTAGACTACCATCCTTTCTACGAATGTTCCAATGACCTGTTCTTCGCGGGTGCATGTCCGAGCTCGGTATCCGCCGCTACAACTAAGCCCACTCTCAGCGAGCCGCTCGTCAGCGTAACCGCAGTTCTCACGAAGGGAGAACTTCATCGTGCCAGCTACGACTTCACTAACTTCACCTCTCTCGCTCACAACGAGTACGTGCGTACCGCAGTGTATGAAGCATGTGGAGGAGCACGGGCTGCAGGCTTCACAGTTTGAGGCTACGTGTTACTGTGACCCGGCTTGTGGTGGTAATGCGCACCCTAAGCTGGGTGCGAATAATGCGTGCCCGAACCAAGTCGCTGTTGTGAGTTAAGGAATAAAAGCGTATCTAGAAACGGGTAGTCGCTTCAAGACATTCGATCAGGCAGCAATTAAAGCGAGGTCAAGGGCCTACGCGAAGAAGGTCAGGTAAGCACAATTCATGTCGGAAACTACACGCTCATTCAATCAGGGATGGAATGATCTCGATCGATGGCTACCTCAAAGCGGTCGTTATAAGCTACGAGGCATGAATGGTAGCTGAATGATTGGAGCGTGCTTACTACTCTAAGACATTCCGTTTGACAAAACGTGTCTACTGTACTTATGATTTTTGGTTTTATTCTCTGCCTCAGTGATGGAATGTAGAGAGTGGTGAGGGTGCCGAGCAATTAAGCTATTGGAGAACCGGCCTTCTGAAGCGCTGGAGTTTTGTTGTCTTGACGTCGATGTTTGGGCAATAACTTCTCAAAACGGATTTTTTGTAATTACAAACGGTTGGGAAAGAGCAGTCAACAGCGGGGAAACCCTTCCATGAGCAGAACAGAAGAGAAAAGAAGAGAAAAGACGAACCAACAAAATGAACGAACCGCTGGTCCGAAGTTCCTAATCCGCGGCTGACAGTCCGACAGTGACGATCTTTCTCACAAAGAACCATCAAAGTTTAATCGTATGGCTCAATACGTGTACCTGATGCAGGCCGACAGTTTTCAGTCGCATTCCATCGGCACTTGATTATTACGAGCGCCTTGCTTGAACGGCTAAATCCTTTGATAGAAAAGGGTATCTTACAATATGAAAGAAGGATGGAAGTAGCGAGGAAGTCTGATAAATTGAAATTCAAAATCGGAAATTCAAGGCCATTAAACAACTGTGACCGATCCGATTCTTGCGTGCTTTCTCCTGTACGAAACTCTTGGCATAGTGTAGATGAACCTGAGTATCTTTTAATATAGAGACTTTGTTGGTAAACCACGTGGCAGTATCTCCATAAGGATTTACTCGTAAAGGTAGTCGATAGAGGTGTGTGCGATTCCTCGATGCCAAGAATCGTCGAGGTTTTTGCATACGCTAAATATACGTATCTTCCCACGAGTGAGATCAAAATTTAGGCGCCTGATCATCTCGAGTCGCTCACACTTCAGCAACGTCGAGCAATATTGAAACAAACGGATTCTAGAGATCAGGCACGAACTACTGCTATTTACTTCCACACCGTGAACTTGCTCAACTCTTTATTGCTCGACGGTGCTTTTTACCAGACACATGGCAATGTCAAGGATCATCCCCCACCAAGCAAATTTCCAACGTCCACAATCTGGTTGACAGCTGCCTTTGGTTTGAGAAGCTGCTCGACTCTTGCTTCATCTGAGACACGAACAAGATGTCTATGAACTTCGTGACCTTCAATCAGGACTACAGCCACTTGGCTGTGGGTGAGTCTTCAACGCTTTAGAGATCTCCGGGCCGTGCTAACATCTAGTCTTCAGGAACCTCGAGAGGATTCCGAATATACACTACAGACCCATTTGAGAATGTCTTCGAGACAAAGCTGGGTGACATCGCGTTACTGGAGATGCTCTTTTCAACATCGTTAGTTGCCCTTATACTTTCACCACGAAGACTGCAGATCACAAATACCAAAGTACGTCCTCGTATCCTCACATTGCATCATTATGTGATTGGCAAACAATACGAGGACGACGAGCATCGTCTTAGGCTTGCCTGTCCGGTCGCTAGAAGGGCCATGCTGACCATTTCTCACTTCTTGCAGAGGCAGTCGACAATATGCGAGCTCACTTTCCCCACCACAGTGTTGGCTGTACGAATGAATAGGAAGCGGCTGGTTGTCATATTAGAAGACCAAATATATCTATACGACATAAGCAACATGAAGCTGCTGTACACAATTGAGACTTCTCCAAACCCAAACGGTATGTGTGGCTAACCCAACCTCTTGTCCATATCTTCTAATACCTGCAGCTATATGCGCTCTGTCACCTTCCTCGGACAACTGCTACCTAGCATACCCTCTCCCACAGAAAGCAGCGCCCTCATCCTTTGCTCCTCCGTCCCATGCCCCACCCGGCGCTACACACATTGCTCCTACCAGTGGGGACGTCCTCTTGTTCGACACCCTAAAGCTCGAAGCGATCAATGTGGTAGAAGCACATCGCTCACCTCTATCATTCATCACTGTGAATGACGCCGGTACCCTTCTCGCAACAGCCTCTGACAAAGGAACTATCATCCGAGTCTTCTCCGTTCCTTCCGCGCGCAAGCTTTACCAATTCCGCCGCGGCTCCATGCCCTCTCGCATCTATAGTATGTCTTTCAATACTACCTCTTCCCTCCTATGCGTATCCTCCGCCACCGACACAGTGCACATCTTCAAGCTAGGAGCGCCTCCGCAACGCCGCAACGGAGACGAGTCGTCGATGCTCTCTACTTCGCCAAGCCAACGCGAACGTAGCATCAGTCCAGGTGGCAGTGACTCTCAACTTGATCTCACGCGGTCTGCAAGCAATGCCTCTGATTCAGTCTCCACGAAGGGAAGAAAACACAATGGATCATTGCTAGGCATGATCAGGCGGACATCCCAAAATGTCGGTACAACTTTTGCAGCCTCCATGGGCGCATATCTCCCATCCGCCGTATCAGAGATGTGGGAACCGGCTCGAGACTTCGCTTGGTTGAAGATACCAAAAGCTCCACCAGCAGCACAAGGTGGGGTTCTTTCCTCGAGTGCTCCACTACGGAGTGTCGTCGCCATGAGTAGCAACAGTCCACAAGTCATGGTCGTCACAAATGAAGGGCACTTCTATGTATTCGGCATTGATTTGGAAAAGGGAGGGGAAGGGAATTTGGTCAAGGTGTATGAGATTGGGGGCGAGAGCGAGCGACTGGGGGCTAGCGTCATGAATGATTGATGGAATTCGACGACTTTCCTATTCCCGAGCATATCGCGTTTGAGTGGGATGGATACCTTGCTGGCATGTCTTTCTAGTGCTCAGATTTCCTGTAACATAAAAACATACAGCAGACCTCGGTCATTTGGTCATCGCGCCAGTGGCAATTGGAGATGCCAAAATGCTGATCATGTCATGTATCCAGTAGAACCCATAAAATTGCAGCGTGTGGAGTTGGTCGAAGTTATAATTATCAAATTATCACGAATGTCTCGACTCCTGGTGAACGCCAAGGCCGAGAGTTGCGGCAGCTCATAGACGCTAGACGAGCGAGACGAGCAATCCTTCATTTCTCATGGCAGAATATGCATGTCTGTGGTTAAACACAACTTTCAGCGCACACACACACTCTGCGAGGTCTTTGCCAACGTTTGACTTTTAGATCATCGAGCTGCCGGAAGCAGCTACTCCCTATTACAAAGCTACCTCACGCGATTCGAGCATCATTGAGCTTTACCATCCTCACGCGACGTCTCAATCAACCAAGCGCATTTTCCTTACACTCAACCTGTCACTCACCTTATCATTGACCTCCTCGAACTGAAGCGAGTATGGATTCGAAGATGGACGTGGACATAGGCAAATTGCCAGAGCCCCACAGACTCTCGCCAGCAACAGAGCCCGCGTCCATACCAACACTGGATGGGTGGATAGAAAGCTTGATGAATTGCAAGCAGCTGGCGGAGAACGATGTGCAGAGACTGTGTGATAGGGTACGTCGAAGAGTCTCGAGGTGCATAATATGCATATTTGGGCTCCAAGGCTGACGTTGCACTTGAGTAGGCTCGCGAAGTGCTACAGGACGAGTCAAATGTCCAACCAGTGGTACGTACACGATAGAGAGCCAGATTTGTTTCAGGTGTCCCGTCATGCTGATATCTTGCTGAAGAAATGCCCGGTCACCGTCTGCGGTGACATACACGGCCAGTTCCACGACCTGATGGAGCTCTTCAAGATTGGTGGACCAAATCCCGACACCAACTATCTCTTCATGGGTGACAACCAGATCCCCGTATAATAATTTTCTCCCCGTGCTGACGCGTATGTATTCAGGCGATTACGTTGACCGTGGCTACTACTCCGTCGAGACTGTTACCCTCCTTGTTGCTCTGAAGATTCGGTTCCCCCAACGTATCACCATCCTGCGGGGCAATCACGAATCACGTCAAATCACTCAGGTCTACGGCTTCTATGATGAGTGTTTACGAAAGTACGGCAATGCCAACGTCTGGAAATACTTCACCGACCTCTTCGACTACCTACCTCTGACCGCTCTAATCGACAACCAAATCTTCTGCTTACATGGAGGCCTCTCGCCAAGCATCGATACTTTGGACAACATCAGAGCCCTGGACAGAATCCAAGAAGTGCCACATGAGGGCCCAATGTGTGATCTGCTTTGGAGCGACCCTGATGACAGGTGCGGTTGGGGAATAAGCCCTAGAGGTGCAGGCTACACTTTCGGACAAGATATTTCAGAGGCATTCAATCACAACAACGGCTTGACTCTGGTGGCGAGAGCACATCAACTTGTGATGGAGGGTTATAATTGGAGTCAAGATAGAAACGTCGTTACTATCTTCTCAGGTACATCTTAGTACTGGTTCTTCAGCTTGCTGGTGCTAACCCCTTTCACAGCGCCGAACTACTGCTATCGTTGTGGAAACCAGGCTGCAATAATGGAGATTGATGAGCACCTGAAGTATACCTTGTGAGTACCGTTCAAGCCACAGGCTCGGCCACATACTGACAGGATGCAGCTTGCAGTTTGACCCATGTCCAAGAGCGGGAGAACCCATGGTCTCAAGGCGAACCCCTGACTACTTTCTCTAAAGCAAATAGACTGGGACCTGGCATTATCATCCGTGCAACAGCTAATACCTTTGGTGGATCAACGAATGTTGTATGGTCAAGACTACGTCTTCACGTCTCCTATTGCATTTCGTGGTGCGACGATCAGGCATCAAGATCATCGCACACATTTTTCCATAGATTTAATGACCTTAGAGATGACCGCTCTGATCTTACTTTGTTCCAGAAGAGCTAAGTTGAAATGTACTTTGCTCTTTGATGAACACGCCAATTCAGCGCGGTTGAGAGTATCTACCGCCAAGGCTACTTCAACCTCCAATGTCAGTCGTATCTGCAGCCATCCCACCTTCTCTATATTTCTTCTCCATTTTACTCGCTAGCAAAATACGTACAAACTCAACAAACGTAACGGAGATATGAAAACAAAGAAGCCTCTCCCTTCGATTTCATGCTCACTTGACTTATATACTTCTATGGATCATGCCTTCAGCCAACCGAACTCCATTACGAACAGGTACACTAAAATGTCCAGCTATCAGCCCAGATCAGCCGCTGAGCGTTCAAGAGTTCCTCCATAGTTTGAAGAAGTCGACGCGCCCGTTTCCCACACCCAAACGCTCGGAGGCACCGCAAGACAGTACATTCACAAGCTGTCAATTGACCGTTGATGGCTTTCTCCATGGTATGCAAAAGACAGTGACTCCGCCTTATAAGCCCGTTGAGGCTGGTGATGCCCCAAAGCTTCAATCGATAGCTTCACCAGGCCATCAAGACTTGCCATTCGTCTGCTCAGGCCGAGGTCTCTTGGACCCACCCGAGACTATCCCCGATCAGTCAGATGGCGAGCAAGTACTCAGCCCATCACCAGACACTCAAGGACTAAGATCTCCCGAACCAAAGGGCTCAGATGAGAAAGACGCATCGATGAAGATCCCAAAAGTCGTTCGCACGTACGCAAAAAAAACCAAGCCTGTAACGCCGGTATGGGATGACAGCTCCGCCTTATTTCTGACTCAATATTCCATGCACGAGGAAGCTCTGCTCGATGGACTTCTCGATGATGGGTCATATACCTCGACAGAACAACTTGCCTCCAGGGAAATCTTGAAAGATAAGCCTGGGAGGAAGCACCCCTCAGTAGTCCCCTCGAAGCGCAAACGAATGCCTACGCAAGACAGTGAGGAGGACCCTAGAGAGAACCACAGTGAGGATGATGCGGACGTTGGGATAAAGGAAAAGGAAAAGATAAAGAAGATTAGGCGAAGAAAGCGAAGGGCACCGGTCAACGAACTCGCACTTGTGACAAAATTTCCGTCTCATGAAGAATCTCCGGCACCACCGGCGAAAGCTCCGGTGAGAACACCTTTTGCGTGATTCCATAAGCCCAGTCTATTGCTAATTTCATTAAGCAGAAAGCGTACGATTCCGATAACGCCATCGACTTGCTGAATGAATATCTTGATGGACAAGGCTTTCCTGCGTCCACTTCGCCAAGTTTTGAAAGGGGCCGAAAGTCAATAACAGCCAACATAAGGAAGCCAGTGACAAGGATTCGCCGAGAAATCACCCTACCACAGCGAGAGATCCTGGCTCGAGAGGGTTTCAAGTTCCCACCCATCACACCGAGAGCTACGAAATCGCCGGGTTGGAGATTGGGAAGCGGCTTCGATGGAATTACACTGGAGTCATCCACGAACAAAATACCGCAGACCTCGCGTAATCGGAAACTTAGACATGCGAAGACTCCTTGTTTTGTAGGGCGGTCTCTTCCAAAACTTGAATTGTCGGCTGGATTGTCACCAACTCGTTACTCTGTTGGTCAGAAGGGCATCCCAAGGAGGCGGAAAGATCAAGGCAATCCTGCTAAAACCAAAGGGTATGAGCCAGCCATGAAGCTTGGTACAGCTGATGGCGCCGTTGAGGATGGCCTACCTCATAGCGCAATCAAGACTAGGGGAAAAGTCTCTTTTGAGAAGGTGGCCGGCTTGACTTTGACCGCTCTACCACGCCCATCAACAGAGAATGATCGGTTCCAAACAGCGTCTCCTTCCCAACGTAACGATGTCATCAAGGATCCTGTTCAACTGCACCAAAGCCCGACCAGGCATCTAGATGCTAGCCAGGCAATCCGAGAGCCATCAAATTCAGAGCGCAAAGGCTGGCTAAAGCGCAGAGGGGTCAATTCTGCTGTCGCTGACGAGGATGGAGAGGAAGAGCAGCTGTTCGTACATACTCAAAGAACCTCCGGCAATGTTAGTGAAACTGGGAAGAGAAAGTGGAGAGCTGACTTGGATACAAACCTTGAAGATACCGCGCAAGCACAGCATGTCGTGCACAATAACTCGCAGGCTTTTAATGAAGAAGGCAATCAGATCCCACCAAACCCTGAACGACCTGGCAACAGTGGACAGCAAGATATGTTTCAAGGCGAGCAGAGCGCCGAACGGCATCGGTGTCGAGCTTTGCATGATATAGAAAGACAACCTCTCAATTCAGAAGAGGAGACTCTTGGCCATCAAAGCTCCAGGTGTCCTCCAGAACCACCATCGTCTTCGAAGTCCGAAGCTGACTTTCCAAACTCGCCATTACACGCCAAAGACCTGTCAATGCCAAAAGCAAGGCCCCATATCGAGGTTCTAAGGACCTCTGAGGTTCCAGAGACACAAGAGAGACCCCAAGAGTCTATAGAATTTGATCATACGGGGATCGAATTCTTGGACCTGGGCCGACACCCATACCACATACCAGAAGTGACTCACGACTCCGGCAAGTATTTCTCGAAAGCTGTTCAGCAACTCGAGTCCCCGGAAGAGGTACCACACACCATTACGCGGCGCAAGTCACGTCGAGAGCCGGAACCAGGTGTGACAGGAACGCGGGTGATGTTTGGAACGCGAACAGGGGCACATCACGTCAATGTGGCTCCCATCACTGGCGAAGAGGGATCTCGGAAGCAGGAAGGAAGTTTGGAGTTGGGTGTGACGTCGAGGCTGAAGAGGACGATGTCTAATGTGTCATTAAGACCGCCATTCAAAGAGGCTTTGCGATGACTCGGCGGTGATGGAACACATACAACGAGCGTTGCTTGATGTGCTACTATAGCCACTTCACCTCGCTAGAGTTGAAGGGCGGCACGTGCAACCATTTCGAGGGCATTTTCACTCCTAATTGCGTGCGCTCTGCTGATTGAGACTAAGGCTTGATGTAAGAGTAGCTCGCTCTCTTAATGATGTTTCCAGTCTTGCAATCTTCTTAGTGTCGAGCAGAGGCTTCCAATCGAACAATATGCAAATCAAAAGGCCAAAGTTTCTATTTCAGCGCTCTCAACGCTTTCGCTCCGGCCACTTCAACCTTCTTTCCAAGATCTTTCTCCCACTGCAATCGCTCCTGCCCGTCAGTAGGTTGGTTCAAACGGAACCTCCACGGCCCGGGCCCAGACCCTCAGCTTCCTCTCTGCAGCCGCCGCGACTTCATCGACGATCTCAACATCCCACCCATCGATATCCAGATCATCAAAATTCCGAGTCGCCAACCAGGAGCAATTGCCCCCGAGCTGTGTCCCATTCCGTGCGAGGCTTCGAGTCACGACGCGAAAGGTCTCGGGGAAGTAGGACCAAATCTCGCAAGCAAGATCGCGGACTCGAACCACAGCCATGTATGGGTTGTTCGAATCAATGGCGAGAGCACTGAGTTGGGTGTTTATCTGCAAGTGTTTTAAGGTCATGAAGGTTTTTAAGGTCTTGGCGACGTCGGAGTGCTAATCTTTACGTTAGCCATCGCTCCCTCGTCACACTCAAATCTTGCGCCTGTGAAGTGGCTCGCTCACCCCTGTGATGTCTGTCTTAGTCAGATCGAGCTCTGGTGAGCGGAGGTGAGGGCAGTAGCTCCAAATGCTGAGGATGACGTGAGATGGAATACTGGACTCGCATTGCGGGACTGGCTGGTCAGTGCGCCAGAGTAACACCGCTTGTTCGAGATTGTGGATATGTAGCTTTCGAATAGTACTCCCATTGCGCTTAACGATCACTCCAATAATTGCACGTGAAACGCCCAGAGATTCCAATTCCAGCTCCTCGAAGTCGTGACGTTTGCAAAGAAAGGACTGTAGTAAAACGCGTTCAGGGACCGATGACCATGGATGCGTATTCCATCTTGGACCCCGGATGATGAGCTGGGACCAGAGGCGAGGTAGGCACAGAGCGTCTTGAAACAGGAAGCCCCAGTAACAGGTGCCAATTTGTGCACGCAATCAGGGTAAGGCTCCGAAGGTTATGTACACTCAAGTGGAACTGTAGCCCTCTCATGTCGGAATCGAATCGGTAGCACTCCAGAGAAAGCCGTTCAATACGTGGTAACCGCTCCTGTGGATCCATATCAGTCTGGTCAACCAAGCGACCATCGGCCTCGTGCCTGATACACATGGTCAAAGATTTCACGTTTTGTTGCCTGAGAAGAAGCTTCTTTTGATAGAACATCAGCTCCGCAAGTTATTCTGCTTTGACATATTGGCGCGGCCTAAAGTCGATGGCTAGCTCTGAAAGGCTGGGAGCAGCCTCAAGGTTTTGGAGGTACTGGCGCTCTTCCTTTAGACCCCAGCACGTGAAGAGAGCAGCTCAATTAGACAATCTTGGATGATTGTAAAGCGCTACGATCAGTGCTTGCGGCATTGGCTCAGGAACTTCCCATCTGCGACTGTTTATCAGAAGAGGGCCGAGCATTTTTCATCATCATGGAGGGATACATACCTGAATGAGTTCAGCATTGGAAGCGATGGGACAGGCCTAGTAAGGAAATCCAACACGCCTAGTCCGAGACGACGTCGGGAATTGTCTCCTTCAGTAGACGAGATCTTGATGTTGAGATTTCGTACGTGACGGAACACAGGCCGTCCATGTTCGGTCTCCAGAATCCTTTCTAATAGGCGAGCGGTCAGGACCGTTTTGCTGGGATCAAAGTCAGGGGTGAGCGAGCAGTACAACCATGGCGTTGCGGCAACGTTCCACAAGACTGAAATCAGTGCGGCTGAGAATAGATCTGATCTCGTTCCGGTGTGATAAAGCTATCAGAGGGTAAGCAACTCTTCAAGGAACTGAAGGCGTAGGCTCTTACCTCTGCGCACACTATGAATGCGGTGTCCGTCCATTGTAACTGCTGCTGGTGAAGGGTCAATGGTGTGATTTGGAGAGGCAAGTAAGAGATGTGTCCCAGTGCTTCTGGAGTGTCCTGAAGGGTAGATACAGGTCGAATGAGAAAGTTGAAGCAAAAGCAGAGTAGGTCTTAAGCATACGTGGGGTATGCAAGTAAGAAGATTTGCTGCAAATTTAGGAGGGCAGACGTTGAGAGCATCAACACATGCAACATGCTCCGATTAGTGACTCGAGAACAGCCTTCAAGGTTTAAGCATTCTGGGAATGCAGTTCAAGCGAAGCAGTATCGTGGAGGCTTGCAAGAGAAGTGTTAGCGGATTGTAGCGGATTGCATTTATGATTCCGTAGGATGCAAGCAACAGCTGCTCTCGTTGTAGGGAGAGCAGAAGGTCATGGTGTTTGCAGTGGTAGTAGTACCGGTGTTGTCCCATGCAAAAGTCATCATCTTTGAGACCATGGTTCAGAATCCAAATGCTGGACAAGGAGATACATCATACAAGAGCTTGGCTCCCAATGTCATGCAAATGATGGAAGATCTCTTGGCCATCCAGCTTACTCTAGACTGAATCAGACTTCTTTGCCAGCGTCTTTCATAAATGCGACGTGTACCTGTAGGCTGTATCTATTCGAACCAGAGCTCGGAGTCAGAAGAAACAGCAAAAATGGGTTTTGTGAGCTAAAGTACTCTACTCTACCGAAACTCCGAAAGCAAGCCGTGAGGCATCAACTTGTGCGTCACCCCGCATACAGCTGCTTTATATTCCATAATCACCCTCTGATGATCCATCTTACCTCCACAACTCCGTCGCCATCATGTCTATCAACACCGGCAACGTCTTCAGCGCCATGAACCTCTCCGAATACATGTACCAAAGCCTCCCCAAAGAATCATCGCCACAACTCAAGAACCCTTACGACGCCATCGCCCTGCTGAGCCATGCTTGCATGCTAGCCGTCGGCTTTCGACTCGTAGGCCTCGGGGAAGATCACAAGATTGGTGTGCCCCTTGAAGTACAGCTTTTCTACCAGTTGGCAGAGACTGACGACAGTGCAGAAGCTGCGATAGACCTCCCAGATGCCCAACCCCTGCCCCAACAGTGGAACTCCTCCACATCCGACGACTACGCCTTCCGGTACGCTCACAGCCAATCGGCCCTCCAATACCTTCTCAAAGTCGGCCGCCTCGGCTCCAAAGCCGTGATCAACTGCCTGGCCATTGGGGACGACAAAGTGCGCACCTTTGACCTCAAACCCAAAGAGTTCCTCACCGAGTCCTCATTCCCATTCACGATGCCGTCTTCCGAAGGGGCGAACGAAGCAGCCTTGTCGATACGGAAAAACTTCGTCTCGGCGGGGCGGATAACGGACGCTGCGTCATTGCTGAAGATCCATATCCTTCAAAAGGTGGCGCCCGGGCTGCAGAAGGAGGGATACGAGGACTCGGCGCATGCCGCCAGTCAGAACAGAGAAGAGAATGGGGCTAGACGACCGGGAACAGGACAAGAGACAGCAGGTGCACCGGCCCATGATCCTCTGCGCGAAGATCGCTTACCTCCTCTCGCCCAACCACGGCCTTACAATGACCCGCTTGCTGCCGAGCCTCGGAGACCGTATCCAGCAGGTGACTTTCCACCACCGGGGTTCGAGGACGAGTATGAAGTCAACAGACCGAGAGGAGGGATAGGTGGGGAGAGGAGGCCGCTGAATATAGGGGAGAGGGATCTGTATCCGCCCGGGCTGGGGCCGCACGATCCTTTGAGAGGCGGAGGGTTCGGCCCCGGCGGCGGAGGCATGCACCCTACGTTCGACGATCCTCTGTTTGGCGGGAGGGCAGGAGGCGGGGCCGGTGGCTACAACGCACAGTACGCATCTACGGTTCCGCCGACCGATCCGAGAAACCTCGTTCGCTGACAAGTGCTTCTACAGAGTCCCACCGGGTGCGAGATACGACCCCATCGGTCCCGGCGACGGACCTCCACAGGGACGAGGTGGGCCACGCTTTCCGGGAGGAGGCGGCGGCGGCGGTTTCGGCGCAGGGGCTCCACCGAATCCGTTTGGAGGCTTTGGCGGGAACGACTTCATCTGAGCATCATGCATCGTGGGTGTGCGTACGGTGGTGTTGTCTCGCGGGCGAGCCTGGGGCGACAGGACGGAAAAGTTTTCAACGAGAATGACTGACGGATTACGGACGGACCTTACTAGACTCGAGATAGATAAGGATAGCATCGACTACGGTGGAGATGCCATGATGGTCAATCGATGAGATTGAAGCCTAATAGAAATAACATTCCTCTTTAGATACCCTTAAATCGTACTGAAAATGTCTCTGCGTTGTAAGACTCGCACAGCAAACTCACCCGCACCGTTCCCCCTACAGTCCTCACATCTCAACCTCATCCCAAAGACCCCAGTCCAAACATTGACCACTGCACAAAATCACGCATCCATCTATCCGCACCACCCCTTCAACCCGCCAAAACGCCAAGATATCCATCTTCCCTCAGCAACGCCCCCCCGATCCGCAATCGGTCCAAGCTTGCGAGCCCTCGCACCGCCCGAAAGGTCGATCCTCAAACATCTGAAACCGCCGCTCCGCCGAAAAGGCAGCCTGCGGGGCGCACGCGGTAGTTGTTCTGGGGGGGCCGCAGCTCCGCAAGGATCCCCCCCGTTTGATATCGAACGTTCCTTATCTGGTTCGACGTTACAGTGTTCGCCACATCCCGCCCCGCTCCCTCAAGGGCAAAGGCGATGGCTTTGAGGGTTCGCGCCGAAGTCCTGGCTGTGAGTTTTCGAATCTTGGTTGGTTTCTTGCAGGGTCTTGGGGGTTCCTGGGTAGATTTACGCCATTGAAGGGCATGCCTCCGCAGGCGAGGCACGTTGATGTGGTTTGTAGGACGTCAAGCGGGATGCGCATGCTAGACGTCGACGATGGAGAGTCATGGATGTTCATTGGAGGGTCCCTCGTACTCAAAAACAGAGGTCAATCAGGCTGCGCGCAATCTCTGTAGTTCTCATTACCTACGACCGTTGTCTTCGGAGAAGATTAGGATATCCTTGCAGAAGCTCATCTTGCTCGTGACTCGATCATTAGCTATGCGCCTTTCATCATAGAAGTTCACAAGCGGGCTAGAAGCGTTCTGTATCGGCATGACTCTGCATGGTGTGGATGCAACATGAAACAGCACACTGCGTACTGTTCTGGCACGGAGTGAGTCGCCTCCGTGTTTGAGTGTGGTACGCCTGTACACCGATCAGAATGCCGAGTGCAAAGCCTTTTTCTGGTTGTATGCGTATTTCAGAAGCTGTGCTATACGTCCAAAAAGCTTCTCGGCCGCTGGAAGGTTTCACGCAATGCATGACTTGGGTCTGTGATCGGCCCTTGTGTGGTTGGTTCTTAACGCAACTCTTACTTTCTCGGATGGGCAGCATAATTTCAAACGCGCGGAACCCTCGCACGATGCGTGCACTGTCCACTAAAAGAAGTAGCTAAAAGAAAACGTTCATCATTGGTCTGAGGTCGAAAGTAGCTAGTGCTAGGTATTCGAGAAAACGGAAAAGGCTCGAAGGCAGAGTAACGAGTCAAGAATCTCCTCGGGAGAGAATAATGGCCATGAAGACCACCCTCCATCTCCAAAACATTCAGTTTTGCATTCTCACGGAAAAACTGTACTGGAAGAGTGGACTTTTGGGGCTATCAGGACTTAATGTGACCTCGATTTTGAGCCAATCGTTACGTATATCTGTAATAGAGGCTCGATCGCTGCGAGTGCTCGTATCGTGATGAGCTATGATCTGAGGTCTCGTATCGAAGGCAACAGGGCCGAAACGGGTGGTGACAGCCTTGTCCCTCTTGACCGTTCATAAATTTTCCGTCTTCCGGCATCTCAATCGTAAGCCAAGAACTAAAGATCCCCTATCCGGTTGAGCAGTACGATGCAGTTCGAGCGAACAGAGTCAGAGGGCTATACGACGCAAGCCTTCTCCGTACGTCGTAATTGGGACAGTTTTTCGTGTACCGTTCTAGAATTTGGAACCCTTAGCGGAAGGCATCGGGATGGATCTTGGCGAAGGGCCGAGGATTTTGGGGTGAAACTGTGGTCTGGAAGCTCGCAAGGAATTCCAAATCTCCATGTTGTACCGGTGCTACGGTTGGGGGCCGTCATCGGGTACGCCCGGTTCCTCAATTCGTGACCAAGGATGAGGCCCTGCGGTAGCCACAAATAAGTGGACCTCGTGAGGTAGTATCGTGTAGAAGTAGCGTCGTCGAATTGGACCTATTGGCTACGGTACTTGGGAATAGCCATGGTTACCTCCAGACTGAGCGGCATTCACCCCTGGTATCAGGTACTGTTAAGTCTGATCCATATGTTAGACCTTGGCCAGAGTGGTGCCTCGGACGCAAGAAAAATGGCGTGTTTTTGATGTATCTCGTAAAGCGGTAACGAAGGAGCATTAGAGTTTTTCGGAATCGCCAACGAAGGGGCTGGCTGGCTGGTATCAGACGATCCCTCCCTCGTACTCGAGGGAGCTCGACTACGCAGATGCTCGCTCCCGTTGTAGAACTCCTTGGTGTACATACCACTTGGAGCATTTTTTTGCGCGAACCACTAACGAGGAAGAAGTCGGGTAGGTACTAGTACGAGTACGTACCCCACGTTAGGCCGAGGGGAACAACGACGACGATTAAGGTAGGGTTCGGCGGTGCTAGCGTATATATTTAGCCGAATTTCCGGATCAACAGTCTGTGCAATGCCGGGCGCTGCAGATCGACACGCCTGTTTGTACCGGAGGGTACATACGTTTCAGACTTGTGTGAGCGGTAAAGGAGGGGTAGGAAAAGCGCTGATTCGATCTTCTCCGATGTGGCATGTAGCAAGCTTCGACCGATCAGCATGCTGGTGGCACTCTTCTCACGTGGTTCCTGACCAGGGGCACTTTCGCAAAGTTTGTTAACAGCCTTGAGGACAAAAGGGTAATTGTTGCGACTCGCCGAAATTGCGGTTGTATCGCCTTGTTGGGGCCAAGTAGGTATGATTTTCTATTCCTATCCCTCTGTGATCAAGGACTGCAGCTGAAGATGTTGAGACGGTCCGTGTCTGACTGCGGGGACACGCGCCGGCTTTCAATTTGAACCTCGGACTCAATAAGCTATCAGCGTATCAGAATTAGGGTTCGGGAAGGCAGTAAGCCAGTGTTGGATATGTCGTGCTCGCTGCCGTATCAGCGCACAAGCCAATTGTTGGTTTCCGTCGCTGCGGTGTGGGCGAAGGATGAGAATGTTCATGTTGATGTTGGCAGCTGAGGTCACTTTAGGGTAGAGACTAGGGAGCTATGATAAAGTTGCCTGGTTAAGGTCGATGGCTGTTGATCTCACGTTTCATCGACATCGATCGAGAAGGGTCCTAGAAGTCGGTGAGGGAGGGATAGTGGCGGACATATCCTTAGTTGGGATGGCGAATGTACTCTTCGCCCGCAAGTGGTAGACTGGTGTCAGATGATTGGTCGACATGCGAAGTGTAGAGCAGTCTGGTAGTGATAAAAAGCCGACGTTCATTCATGAGCCAGGAACCTGAAACGATTTGCGTGGTAGTGTGAGCATAGCATCCGTGGGGGACATGCAGGCATCCGCATCGTTCCTGCAGGTAGGCACCGCCCGATGATTCATGTGCTACTGATGACAATCTGGAAGCCAATGAACTGACAGCAGCATTGTTCTCAGCCCACCCCCTCGGCAGTCAGGAAACCTGAAACGTGTACCAGATCATCAGCCCCCCTGTCAGCAATACTTTCACACTACCAGTGTATTGTAAGAAACGGTATGATACGCTAAGGTAGGACTAAGGCTGCACGTGTCCTTCTTCCCGCTTGCCACCAACATCTCAATCCCAATACGGAGGAAGCCGATTCGACCAAGACAGACTGGTAGCCTTACCTTATTCTGTCACTAGCACTAGCCTACTAGGTACATCAGACACGTAGATTAGGTGCAAAGCCTTTTCTTTTGCTCTCTGCGAAGTACCAACTCTTTCCCCTCTGCTATTTCTATCTCCCACCCACCAATCGTGTCTTCACATTCACCCACGCCAATCACCGGGATGATTGCGGGACTCTCTTCTCTCAAAATCTTTCGGAGGAGCCTGTTTTAGATGTCCAACATGTAGCAATGACATCCAACCCCGCAGTTAATGGGAATAAACCCCCCAGCCTCCATCTTCACCGGCGGCCAACAAGTTCTTCTTTATCCGATTTGGAGTGGATGTGTATAACCTGATGATAACTAGGTACGCATTTATCAGATCGATATCAAGATGTGATGACAGCGCTACCACTCGTCCCGTTGGGCGTTGGTCAGATGTTCTGCATGCTTTCGCCGTTGCGCAATTTCTTAGAGTCCGCTTTGAGGTAAAACTCGGTGCCCTTCTCCGTGTAGTGGACCATGTTGCAATCGGCGATGCACAGGGTGTATGATAGGAGTGCTCCGTAGCGTACAGGCAGACCCTTTGCCTACTTCCATGCTGCTGCAACGGTCAGGCGTGATGCTGCAAAGTGTGAAAATCTTCCAATCTTCAAATCATGTGATTGGACGGAAATGCAGCTTCCGACATGGTTTGATGTCGAGTCTATAATTACCCCATTCAGCCTGATACCTCAAGTGGTGAGCAGGCATGAAGCCTGCTAATGCTGGCCTTATGCATCATCTACCTTACTTTACATTTCCGAAGCCCGGGAGATTGGAAAGTCAAAGTCCGCTTCTTCTTCTTCTTCTTCTTACAATTCAGAGTTCACGTTGTCGACAACCTAATCCCCACACTTAATGGTAGCGTTGTAGCGTTACTGCAGGGCAGTGTTTAGCCAAGGTAGGGCCTGATAAGCAATTTCAGCGACACCCGCTTGATGACATGGTGATTTGGGGATCGACCACGAGAAAAAAAAGCATCGAGTTCGCAAGGGAGTTGCGAGCAGGGTTTTGCCCAGTTGCACAAGGCGGGAGACTCCGCAACAGGACATGTGCTGTCGCAAAATTTCGAAGGTCTGGACGAGTTGACAGACGCCTTCCCGCTGGCAGCAAGGTCCTTTGCGCATCCTATTCGGAATTTGTCATAGGGAGCAAAATTGGATGTGAGCATGGATGGCTGTATCAGTCTCCAATTGGCATCATCTGATCATACGACTGATAACGGAAAGCCAAGTGCGTGGTGTAGCCTTGTAAGCAGGCGCGGAGATTGCATCCCTTCCCGATGAGGATACGAGAGACGAAGGCGCTCGGAAGGATCATTCGAGTAGAACGCCTCCAGGACCAATCAAATGATTCGTAAACATGCAGAAGCATACTTGATTTCATCGTCGCCCTTGAGTCTTGATGTTGATGATGTTGTTGTTGTCGCCGCCGCAATCATATCCCCATTCCGTGCCTTTCCTGGGGAAGCGCCAGCGCTTCCCGTTCAGCCTCGCCGCATACCCCTCCGCTCTACGGACCGTGACTGCCACATTATTACATTCATTTTTTTCCCCACGTACCATCTACCGAATTTACATTCCACCAAATCCCACAAATCCCACAGCCCACCATTCTCACGCGCTCCTCATTTTTGCCTCCCCCCCCCTCCTCTACCCTCGACCAAAACCCTCCGCAACAACCGAATGACACTCAGCCGTGTAACCACAACTCTACGGATGCGTTTCACGTTTCAGCCGAGAGTCCGCAGTGGGCTCGGACGCATCATCGTACCATGAACTCACCAGACGGGTTCGAAGCTAGGCTATGCTATCACCACGCAACCAGGGATGCGGATCCCTCGCTTGTTGTCCTGGCAAATTCCGTTGGACGATGACGACCTACCTACCACACATGGTTAGGAGCTGCCTTTGTCCCACGAGGTTTTTTGTTACAACCCGAAAGGAGAACCATTTAGGGTTACATGCAGCATGCGGTCAGCATTTGAACAAGGTACCTAAAAGTAAAAAGGTGGGTACCGTGCTTCATCCCACGTGTGAAGAACCGAATCTAGAGAGCTTTTACCCCACCCGGACGCACGCACGCACGCACGCACGCACGCATGCATGCATGCGTTCAGCCTCAAACAAGTTTGGCAGATGCGACGGCATCATCATTGGACGTATGTAATCATCCGGACGGAGGTGGGATTCCTTCGTGCATGCATTGTTTTTGTCCTTCAGCCCGGAAGGATTCGTAAAAGTATGTTGGTGAGAGTGAGACCAATGATTTTCCGACTTGGGGACTCCGTAAGCGCCCCGAGGAAGAGATCTGTGGGAAGTTGTCGCCCTCCCGTTGGTTCGATGCAGTGTAAGACATCTGCCAGGTACCGACGCCAAAAAGCCAACGCCAACGCCCGAATGGCCTCGATTCGCTTAAAAATCCCATTTGGCCTGGTCCCTGCGTCCACTCCGTCCTGAGGCAAATTTCAACTTTCGTCCCTTTTGGAATGAGGGTCGCACGCGAGGGAGATGAGTGAGATTTGTTCTTCATTTTTCCCTACTAGGCCCATCTGCTGACTTGCAATTGATAGAATTATCACCGAGGGTGCATCCGATGTATTTCTAGAAGAATAGGGCGCACAGTGTAAGATTGCATTGTTGCATTGCTCCTACTATTCTTAACCCTAAAAAGTTTGCCTATCATGTCATTCGCCTATTTCTGGCCCCCCCCCAACCAAGAATACCATCCAACCATAAGCATGTTGCTAAAGGGTATTGCGCATAATCCTTGACCACGGAATCAGAAGTAAAAAATAGCAAACTCGTCAAAACGTAGAGGAAGTCGTGTACAGAGTAGCAACAGCAGCAGCAGTAGTATGCAGATGATGACATAGAAAAAAAGCTGGGCGCAGATCCAAGCCCCACCCGCACTAGGCATCGTCCGTGAAACCATTGCGAACATGAAACACATACACAGCCGAGACGGCCTTCCCAAAGGATTTCCCCCTCCAAATTCCATTATGCCATTATTCCAATCCGTAACGCCTCTACCGCATCTGTCATGCGTCTGCCAGCCGAGCCTCTGCTGCACAATCATCCCCGAAATGCACTGGCTCTCAGAAAATGCCCATTCCGCTAACCTCCAACGCAACGTTCAGATCTAAGCCTAGTTCGTAGGATTCCGGAGCAACAAAGGGTCAAGATTGATCACGAAGCAAACACTGATGACTGAGTCTGGATCGGGCTGCTGACGAATTGTGGCCTTTCGTAATTCGGAAACGTTGATGTTGGTGCGGCCGACATTGGAGGTGCCATTGATGATGGGTGTGGAATTCCTACGTTGTAGGATTTGCTGCGCGCTGGAAAGTTCGTAAAAGACCATCTCGCAGGAGTTGCGGCGGATCCTTCACGGAAGCCAAGCTCGAATCGCTTGGGGCATCCGTCCTCGGTATGTCTTCGGAGGGTGTCTCGGCGAGCGAATCGGTTGCCACAAAGATTGCAGCGGTGATTACGCGCTTTCAGATGTACCTGTCATTACATTAGCTCAAGGCATGTAGTATGGAGCAGAGTAATGCTTACGCTATCATAATGCCGGTCCAGGTCGGTTTTTCGCTGGAACTTCTTCGTGCAGAGGGCGTTGCCGACCATGGCTGTGCAAGGGTGAGGATATTTACGTTCTGGGTTGTGTGTCTCCATGTGCGATTTCCAGTTGTAGCTTCGCTTGAAGAGTTTGCCGCAGACACGGCACTCATGTGTTGCTTCCTCGGGGGTGGTCCTTTGGCGCTTCTTCTTGATGCGGTTGACACTGGGCAAAACGGGTGCTGCGTCAAACTTCGATCGAGTATCTTCGCCTATCATGTTCATGTCGTTGCCATAGCCTGAGGTGTTTGGCTTAGCCCAGTCACCAGGCTGATTCTTGTAAAAGTCGTCTGAAGGTCCGTTGATGGGAGACACGCCGTTAGAGTAATTCGTAATTCCTTGAGTGGTCAAAGATCGCTGCAAGACCTGCTCATTTCCAGGGGATGGGTACCACTCGCTTCCGTCCTCGACTTTGACCCTAGGCGTGTAGTATTCGGCTCCGTGCTGGACTGGTGAGGAATAAGACGAAGACATTGATGACCGATGAGAAGGCATGTTTGTGCTTGGAGGTGATTGGCAAAAGACAAGACCTGGTGCTTCTGGCGATTGTGTAGAGATCATACCAGTGTTGGCGTTGGTAGAAAAACCGGAGAAAGGATCGAATGCTGCTGAGAAGATGTCTGGTGGCTGCGATGTCTGTGGGAAGTCTTGTTCCATCATCGAGGAGTGCGACCAGTCGTCTGATGCTTGCGGCGATGGTGGGAGCTCTTGAATTGTACTCTGTTGCTGTGGTAAAGGACACTCGAAGATTCCTAAGCCTCTGTTGGGCTGCTCCATTGATGTTGGCTCTGGTTGGGGCGTAGCTGGATAACGCCTTTGCGAGGAGAAGGATTGCTTTGGCTGCTGGTTATAGGGCGACATAGGTGAGCGCATTGATTGTGGTGTGAGGTTCATCGTTCAATATCGGTAGACAGGCAATTAGGAGCAGGTGCCTACGAGGGCAAGATGGAGCGAGCGGAACAATTGCAGAATTCAAAGTTTCTTTGATATATGGCTTCTGATTTTTGGGTTGTGGAGTTGAAGTAAGAAGAAGGTTGTTTGTTGGCAGGTGTTGGAAGGCGCGACTGAGGAATAAGTATTAAAGTAGTGGTAGCCCAAGGCAGGCAGTGAAGGGTGTGGGGGTTAAGACTTGAGAGGTATAGGTGAAGGGATCAAGGCAGAATGGCGCTATGAGGAAGTGTGTCAAAGTGCAAGAGACTGTGTTAGCAGAAGTCCAGTAAACACGGCACTGCCCAGCATTTAACTATGAGATGGGGGAAATAGGAAATGGGAAAATGGAACGAGAGATGGAGGTGCATCAAGTGAGCAGCAGGAGATGGTCGAATTGAAGCTAAGAAGACTCAATCCCTGCTCCATGCATCATCCACCGCCTCCCAGTGCTAAAATCCCGAACCCTGACAGGGGGAAAGCTTAGCTTATTCCCACAGCCAAGGTACCAAGCAGGGGTATGTACCATGTATCATACCACCACGTATTGTAATTTATGCCTAAAATTAGCGTCATTACACAGTCAGACGGACTCTCTTCCAATTTCGCATCCTCAGCCCACCATCAGGAAATAAAGGGAAAAAAGGAAAAGCGGAAAAAAAGGGAACATGCGTGCACATCATCATCGATCTAAGCCCCATGCTACCCACTTGCTCATTTTGGGTTTAGTGCGTAAAGTGACCCCTCCTTCAGAGTAGCAACGTCTTTTTTGTCCGCAAGATGAAATCCCGAAACTCCCTACTGATCCTTCAGGCAATGTGGCCCCCAACCCATAGCCAACCTGGGAAGTCATGGCAAAGTCAGCGTCGTTGTAATCATCAATCATCAATCATTCTTCATCAATGTAGCATTCCAACAACTGACCAAAAAGGCTGACAAATAGCCACGGCGCAATGTCTTTCTCGGCGCAAACCGGTTCGGCGGAGTCGAGATGTGCAGCATGCACAGAAAACCCCATGTCCGAGAAGTCTAACCTTTAATAGGAATAAATCGCGTGAATTATGCAAGCACTTCAAAATTTGAAACAACGGCCAAAATCTTTTTCGCTTCATTCGCTTACGCCCCGTTGTGCATGCAGACCTATCTTGTCTCTTTCTCCGGCATCGAGAACAGTCGAGTGAAGATCCCTCAACTATTCCAGCCAAAGCTTCCGCTGGCTCTCGTAGCCTTTCGAAACTGAGGTGCCCCACCGTGTCAAAGCATTGGATGAGAATGGGACTCCTCACGTACGAAGGCGCGGGTGTATTCCGTTGTTCTGTGGAGTCGTCGCCTGCAATATGAATTGCCTTACTGCGTGGCCACGTAGCCTTTGAGATCGGCCTGTTCGAAGGCCCCTTTGCCTTGATACTTTTGCCTGATTTCCACCATGTCCTTTATTCTGCCAGAAGCCGTCTTGAGATATGTGCGGAAGTAATTGATGTGCATCTGGCAATTGATTGACTTCGTTAATCTGCCGCTCGGCATGGGCCGATTCCATGAGATAGACCAAATCGATGTCCAGGCCAATTTTTTCTTGCGCGAAAGATGTCCGTTGCGACAATATTGTAGGCCTAATACTACCTATCTGCTGAGTTGGTCAATCTTCCGTTCCATAGTGGCCAGTCGCTCATTTATGGTCTTCAGGGTAGCCGCCAAGTCATGGTCCGTTAGCCCAAGCGCACTCGGGCGCTTGGCACTGGTCGGTGTCTTTGGTATCGACACTTCGGATCTGCTCATTAAATCTGGCCGTGGGGTTGGCATATGTGTGTGTATGCCTCGCTTTGCAGATCGCATCCGTTGCTGCGAGCTTTTAGAATACTGCCAGCGGCTACGCAATGCATACAGCTCCTCATAGACCCATATAGCGGCGATATAAGGAGCGTGAGTGATCTTCAAGAGCACGATGCGTGCCGAACGTATCTGCTCTGAAGGTACGCAGAGTCTCAACGGTCGAAACAATAGCAGTGGTAAGAGGTTCTGCGACCAGCGTTGGCAAGGTTACTGAGCAGTGCAGAGGACACATACCAAGGGAGGAAAATAGTAAGTCAGCCGCCGTGACGCTGATGCCTTGAACTGGTTCAGAAACCTGGCATAAATTATATGCAAAATTCTCTTACCTCGAGCACGAACACTGAATATCTGAAACATCGATAAGCGCTTTACGAAACTGAAACTCTTCACGGTCATCACGACAGGCTTACTGAAAAAGGTATTCCTCTCGGGCGTGATCCATGACCTATCAAATCAATCAGTAATACTCTATACAGACCCTAGGGTCTTTCGCGGATCAATACATAGTTATAAAACCGCATATATAGCACCGCTCGAGGGCGGTGCGCGCGGCTAGGGAGCTGGCGGACGCACCTTGGTAAAGACTTGGCTCAAAATGGCAATCAAAGATGTTAATAGTAGTATATTGGTAAGAATAATGAAAATGAGCATGAGCTATTTTTCTATTAGCGTGGCTTCCACCTGACTGCAATCCAATGCATGTGGAAACGGGAGCTAGCGCACAATCGGTCCAAGCGCACGCGAGATCTAGAAACGTTGACCAATCAGCATTGCGATTTGCCACTTAAACCCCTGTCTTGGAAAACCGCGATTTGCTTGATCGGGACACTTACTTGGTCGGCAACTTCACTGCCCGCCAAGAAGATTCAGTCAGTAAGTACTTGGAATCCTGCGAACGCTGCAGACGCTGCAGACGCTGCAAATGCCGCGATCTGCCCAACGGAAAGGCACTGCATTTCCCACTTACAATCCGGTCGAGGTAGAGCTTGACTTCCGAGTCAGCCATTGGATCAGACAATATGGACTCGTCCAAGCCTCACCCAAAAAAGACCTTGTTGCATGGTTAGCTTGGATTTTGCAAGTGAAGGAATCGGGGACCTACGTTTATCATGATCCATAACACCTGACTAGGCGTAAAGTCGCCTCGTGCAAGCATGGTAAACGTGGTAAGAAAGCCGCAGAACAAAATGATCACTATTCCCAAGAACTTCACGAAGTCTGTGGTCTGATCCGGGTTTGCTGTCAGCCTGACGATTCTGAACCCCCACGTTGAATGTAAAAGCATACCATTTCCTTGAGACAGGGTATCTGTTCCGCGAGTTCAGCGCAGGCCCCAAGAGTCAAGCAATGGATGGCAGCCTACCAAGGTCCCAAAGAACGGGACAAGGGATAGCAAGGAACACACTCTAGGAAGCAGAAATAGAGCTTCGAGAGATAGTATGTCAAAGGATACGTCGGTGATGGCCGGACTATCTCTCGTCAAGCCGATGATCCCTTCGGCAATGAGTCAGCTACTTGTCGCTCAATGGCGGAGTCTGTCTTGCCGCTTCGCCTTGCTCATCGCGAGAGGCTGGCATGACCTGCTCATCACTCAGACTGGACATGAGGCAATATAATGACTCACTAGATACCATGTAGGCTACACCGATACCAATGATACCAATGTCCCATAAGCTCCAGAAGTCTGCCACGTAAAAGGAAATCCCAGCATCTCTGAATTCTCCGAACTCATCGTAGGCGAATGCAGCAATCCAGATGTACAGGAGGGCTTCGACAGGAGTGATTTTGTGTGGGTTTCGCTCCACGAGCACTGCGTAATATAGGCCAAGGAACAGAGCAAAGAAAAGAGCCTCGAAGCTTTTCTGATATTTGGGTACTCGAAGCCTGCAATATGGATCCGCTCGAGCCTTGTTGTAAAACTTTGCCCTTTTCTTGCTGTGTACACTCAAAGATTCCCAGAATATGATATGACCATTCCAAATATCGTCGACCGTCTTCTGGACAACTCTTTGGCTGAGGAACTTTTTTGCACCTGCCACTGCCGCAATTTCAAGGGCATTAAGGCCGACGAAAGAGGCCATTGGCTCCTCCTCCGCGATTGAGGATGTTCTGGTATTGCCTCGTGTACTCGTAGCTGAAGGGTCTCGTCCCGAGAGAAGTGCAGCATGCTCGGCGGCGTCTCCATTGTCCGGATGGGTTCCAACCCCATCGTAGCTTTCAGGATCAAAGCTGACTGGAGGAAGTTCGTGTAGAAGATAGTCAATTAGCTCGGCCGCTGACAAGTGTGTCAAGAACCTCCAAGCCACAATCTCGCAGGCGTGGCCTCGAGTATCGTTGATGCCATGATCATCTTGATCACCAGAGGCGAAATGGCATTTTAGTATCCTGAGTTATTTATTAAGAATTGATGGAAACTGCATGGTGTTTAAGGACTGACTGACAGCAAAGCAGATACGATGTCGGGATGATGACAGCTTTCAGAGAGGGACTTGATTAGGGGCTTCAGTATGTGGCCCACAGATGCCGTCCTTAGTTGCTCGAATGTATGAGGCGCTTCGATAGCATCTATGAAATATCTTTTGAAGAGTCAGCTATCACTATTCTTCATTGTTGTATGGAAGAACCCTCAAAGCACAGTACCCCAACGCGGGGTGTGTGCCTCCTGATTGTAGTTGAATATGTAAAGGCCCATAAGATGTGCTTATCATTCGGTCGGGCAGCCGTTCAGGAGTCGATCTGATGCTCCGAGTGTTGCAGCCTAGCTCTCCTGTTTCAGAGTGCAAGTCCGGCGTGATATGTTGCAGTTGATAAATGTCACGCTTGATGGTGTCATACAAAGCAAAGTGGATTCCCTTGATCTTGAAATAATGTACTATCGTAGCTCGAGTCCGACGCATACATGTGGCATTGCGGGAAACGACAATACTTTCGCGACTTGAGGAATCTATGCAATGAGAGATAAGGGTGGCGGGCTCACACTGAGAGTTGCCTCACGATTTCTCCAAGCGGCTCATCCTGATCGATGCGTGGAGGATCCAACTGCCAATCGGTCTGCCCAGTACGTGGGCCGCCAGACGAAGGGGTCTGTGGCATTGCCGCTGCCATGCTTCAAGATGCGCTCATCAGGAAAGTAAGATGCCCAGACAAGATAAAAAGGGGTTCTCAGAGCAATATGAATCTATTTTGAGCGGTTTACAGAGGATGAGTATGAGGAAGTACAAATGCAATCGAGTAAAGTAATCTCTGGAATGTTTGAAACAAGGATCTGCAGCAGGGATCTCATGCACGGCACGGCAAGTGCGACTCTAGAGTCTAGCTGTTAATTAGAGATTGTCAATTGATACCACATCCAAGCCTTCTGGCTTTATTACTCATCGACTGTACTACCAATTCATAAAATCTTTGCACCCTTTCATCTCACACTCTCTCATCCGAGAAGTTGAAGCGCGTACATCGTCACCTCCCAGACGTTCCATTTTCTTGGAAGTGGCTTCGTCTCTGCCTTGCCATATTCACAGAGAATTCTCTTTGCAACTAATGCGCCGATTGCCAGTGAAAGGGTGTAGCTGATCAGGCCAGACTGCCAGAAAGCTGAGGCGGCCAAGGAACAAAAGATTAAACGACTGCGATGCTCCAAAAGGCAAGCTTATCTCCTATCACCAAGGGTAGAATCCGCCGATTGTGGGCTCTATCTCCATTGTGGCCTGCTATGCCCTGCATCTGGACTGTAGTGAAGACTATTGATGCTAAGGTACAAGGAGAAACGGTGGGGCGACACCTTCGCTGAAATCATCTTTACCCGAACCCATTGCGACTTCCCTCACTCGAATGATGAAGTTTAAATATCGTGCTGCATTAATGACATTGCGACTCATGCATCTTTCGGCACTCCGGAGGTCGTTGTATCAATAGTCTCAAAACCTGAGTAGGCAGCGCTCGCTCATCTGGTGCCGCATGGTCAGGAGGGAATGCCGAGAGAGAACGTTCTTGCTGCGAAGGTTGATATATCGTTTGTGAGGGCGGCCGGGAAGGGCATGATTATGAGGAAGCTGACCGAGAGGGCATATGTGGGTGAGATAGATGCGTTCTACAGTGGACCAAGCATTAGAGAATACATGAAAAAACGTACACATTGCGGGGCACATTACTTCACATCACAACTCTGGTATTATCTTGCATCATCTCAAGGGATATAGCAGGTCTGCATCTTCACAGGCCTCAACAACCCATCGTCCATCTCCTCTCTCGCCTCCCACCCACTCTTCTGCTGCGCAGACGGGCCCTTCCCAAAGATGTCCAGCTCAGCCTCAGCTTCGTATCCCCAGCTCATCCGCTCCACGTCTTTCTCCGGCGGTATATAGCTCTTCCGCGTCGCCTTCACAATATTCATTCCCCTCCCTGGATATTCAGCCTCCACATCAGCCAACCCATTGCTGATCGTGACATAAGAAGGTTTCGAAGGCTTTTGGTACGCTTGTACGTAAGGGGGCGAGTCTTTATGCCCGCGCAGCCATTGAATCAAGCGCGGGATTGTAGGGATGGCACCTGCGAGGATCACGGTTGTGAATTCCGCAAACGCCCACATGAAGACTGGCTCCGTGGCCCGGGTCCTGTCTGTTGCCAGAGTGAGGTGGACGCTGTAGACCAAGCGGATGATGCTCGAGATGCAGGCACTATATTCATGGACTTCATCAGCGTAGCGCTTCCGATGGCACGCAGTAGCGAGGAAGAACCCACAAAAGCCCGGTACCAAATACGGCGGAAATGGTCATTTTCCTCTTCAACGCTATCTGCAGCTTCCAGACCGCAAAGACTGGCAGGAAAAGTATCGAGAAATCGCTTGCAATGTTAATTGCAGACGTCGCCAATATGTATGGATCCATTGTTGTCACGCATGTCCCCAACAACATCGGATTCGAGAGCTGGGCTCTCGGTACGCAGGCGAATATGAAACAGAAGGTGACTGTGACGTAGAAGACGAAATTCGACCAGACCAGGATGAGGATGGCCCAGTAAACGGCATCTTTCTTTGTGCCGCGGAAGATTCGCAGCATCTGCATCAGGACGCAGAGTTTGGCTGGGAACACTGCGGGGCCGTAGAGGATCTCGACTATGTTGCTGAGCTGATATCAGGGGTCACCAACGCGGATTGAGTCTGTCGTAGTCTGTGGTAGACTACCATTACGACGCGCATTGCTTCTGCGTTGGATGCATCCCCTAGATGTCGTCCCCGTCCAGCATTCCCCGCAGTCACGGCCACTCCTACGAATGCAGCGAAAGCGAGCCCGGCGAATATGAGCGCGTCTGCATCAGAGTATTAGGAAAAAAAAGGTCTCCTGAGAGGGCTAAGACCCCTTTAGGGACACACAATCTTCTATTTGTGTCTTCTTGATGATGTACGTCTTCACAAAAGTTCGCGCGCATATGAAAACGATTGCAAAAGCCAGGCACAGTACGCCTGTTGCCACCAGCCGATGCTGTGACGAAGGAGAGTCTGTAAAGTTGGGCTGCTGTCCTGGAGGAGGATTGAACGTGGGTGTCATGGGAGGATCTATCTCGGCGAGATTCGCCATCGCTCTGTTTGCTCAATGTAAATATAAAGTTAGCTGCGGGGCAGTCGAGTCTCGAGAGTGTAAAATTTGGGTTGTAAAGAGCGTACGTATATAGTCGAGCTTGCCCACGGACGACAAGAGAGACATGCTGAGTTGTCAACTTTGTCAGCCTTCCTCTCCTTTTCAGCTCGCCATGGCGTACTCGAAGGTTGACAGCCGGAACTGAGACACAACCGTTACGACTTGCAGCATTAGTCATGCATAGAGTATGCGGGTCTGGTTGAGCGCAGATCATACTAGCGCAGCTTTCGCCGCTTATGCTACCTACCATGTCATCAAGTGTGACCGGAGAGGAGAATGTTGCCAGCTGATGTTTCACCGGCTGTAGAGATGGAATCTCAGGATACTACTGCCGATAAAAGCGCAATGATCTGGCAGAATGAGACGACAATCCGAGATAGTGCCAGATATTCTCGGATTGATCTGCTGTCAAAGACATGATCACAGCCTCGGCTTCTGTTGTTGGAAGTCAATGCAAGTAGAGCGAAAAGTTTTGGGAGATGTCTGTTTGTGAATGGGCTTCTATGATTTGCCAGCGCTGCCGTTGAGAAAATGCCAAACAAAGTGCTTTGGAATAGGCAGGCGAAACGAGAGAAAGGTGAAAGGCTCTGGACTCTGAGTGCCTATGCCTACCTTACTCATGCCTATAGGCAACCTCATAATGGCTGTCGACTCAATTAACTTAGTCTGAAGTGCTTGGACTAGGTCGATTGGGGGTGGGGGACACTGGCAGCCACTGAGTTCTTGATCTCCGTTCAACTTCCACTCCTTTCGATACATCTCCTTCATCTTCCATCTACGTAGACCCCAGGTCAACTGGGATCGAAGAGCAAGTTGCGTGAGTCTTCGGCATACTCTCTTCTCTCTCCTTTCAACCACTGATTTTCATAGCGATTTTTGCGCTCTGTGCAAGCCGGGTTCTTGACAACAACCTCGACGCTGGTCAATGTCAGGTTCGCAATCTTCTCTCGGCTTTCGACGTAGCTAGTACAGTAGGGACTAGTAAACCAATTCTTCAGAAGGTCATAGTCCTCCAATGCCAAGCCATAATCGGTGTGTAATCTCAGATGCCGGAGGCCCGGAAGAGATTGGATGATGGCCATGTTGAAAGAACTAGTCCAATCCTTGTGCTCGTCCATGGCCTAATCCATTGAAAGCGAAGCTTCTTCAGCGTACGCTTCTGATTGAGGCTTCGTGGCCCCACGAGTCGTTTGAATGTGATGCTGTCCTTGAAGGAGAAGGTGTTCGTCGCCCATAAGATGTGGTTGGCTTCGTTGTATATCTGCCTACAGGACCGGAGAATGCGGAGAGGGAGCGTCTCATGATCGCAATATATAAAATCCTGGTCATATTGGTAGTCCAAGCTATCGTCGCACCGCTGGTGCTGTCGTAGCCAAAAAACCTCTTCGCCGTAGCCATCCAAATTGGAGTATGCCTTTCTTTCGTCTTCTTCGTTTTCCGGGCAATCCGCCTCACAAACATCAAGTCTCCAAAGGCTTCCACGCCCCTTTTCGTTTTCCTAGATCATTCCACGATACAATTGCTCACTCGTTCTGATGCCAAAACCATCATCATACGGGTATCTGAGGTGTATGAGGGGGTTCCCGAGCATTTCTCTGTATATCTTGTTGCGTATTTCCAGGGGGCAGTCTTGGGAAGGGCGATGTTGATGCGCTTCGAGCGATTCTAGAGTGAGGGTTTAGTAACCCAGAGAACATGGTATTGCGAGAGTGCGCTGATGATCATTCACGTTGCCTTAGTTCCAGCATCCTTGAAAGCGGAGGATGCGATTCGCTTTCTTGGCTTGCGCGCCGCCTTCTCTTCTGGCGTCTGTCTCTTGATCATAGCGTGATAACTCCAGATGCCAAGCCTATAATTGAAATCTTGGCAGGCAACGTTTCCATTGAGCCATTCACTAACGTTGATTAAGTATCCTCTCTGTCTTTAGCTTAACGGTTACTGAATATATTATGAATCTACGGATTGGAAGACAATAGGAAAGAGCTCGCCGCTAGAATGCAAAGGTCTTGAGCAAAGACTCTCATAGCTGCGCCTGCGGCTTCCCATTTCCGATGGGCTTGGATACAAATGCTCCAAAATAATCATTCAAGGCATCCACTGTCCCACTTCCCGCCACTAGAGTGACCACGCAGCCAACATGTCCATCAGGCCTAACAACGACAACACCGCCCTTGTCTGCATCCAATCCCAACTTTGCGTGGGCTGCAGCTTTCGCATCAGGCACCTTTGGATCCCAGACATCGTCGGCATAGACATGATCACTATACCGTGCGAGGATTGGCGGCAACATCTTCGAGATGTCTATTCTATCTCGGGGAGATGCGAACGTTGTGCATATTGAAAAGAAGTAAGAATGAGGATTGTGTCGCTCGTGATAGGAGACACTTGCAATATCCTCTCGTGCGAAGGTCGAGTAGAAGCTTTTCTTCTTTTGCAGATTCGTAGCAAAGTCAGCAACGGCACGCTGTGTCTGTGACGGTGAGCCAGCGAAGAGGAAAATCCTGAATGAGCCGTTGAGCGGAATTTCTTGCTCCAATTGAACCTCATTGGCGTCCACAACCCTGGTTACATTGGCCGGGGGCATGATACGGCCTACGCGAACAGTATTGCCTTTTGGGTTGAAAAGGTGTGACTGTGCGGAATGGTCTGATGACCAGTTGAACTCGTTCGGACCGTAGAATATCCCATAACCGGATGTAAATTCTTGGCTCGACTTGAAGACCTTCACAAACTCATTGGCCGCCCCATCTATGTTGTCTTCTGACGCTGCACCCACCTCACCAGCGGAGGGGACCCGCTGAGAAAACAGTGCGGCGTACTTGGCATCGAAGTCGAGAAGTTCCTCAGCAATGTGCTTGCGCTCTGACTCATACGATTGTAGTATGGATCGATTCGCAAAGCCTGCCTCAACGTGATGGATCTTCCATGCAAGATTGAGAGCGTCGTGGAAAGCGGTATTCATTCCTTGGCCAGCTTTTGGCTGCATTTAAATCAGTCAGATCCTACTTCAGAACAGGGACCAGGTCGACTAACGCTATGCGTGTGGCAGCAGTCTCCGCCTAAGAACACTCGATGATCTATAGTGTAGTTCTCCGCTATGCCCTGGCCAATAGGGTAGACCGAGTACCACTCTACCATGTCCCATTCAATGTAATAAGGCTGTAGTATCTTCTTTGCCGATGCTTGAACGTCCTCCGGAGTAGCTTGTTTGCGAGGGTCAAAGTCTTTGTCAGTCGAGGACGCAATCTGTATGTAAAGTCTAACCATGTTGTTTTCCCTGGGAATAATCATGATCGAGCCGTGATCGCTATGTATCGTGCATTTCATCTCGCCAAGTCAGCAAGGCTATCTTAGAGTCAAGCCGGAGCTGTTACCTTGACATCAGGAAAATCCGTCCTAACAACTCCATCCATGACCCCCCAGACATGACTGATCGGATCTTTATGACGTATTTTGACACCCAGCTGATCCCTTATGAAGCTCCTAGCTCCTTCGCCACTGAACAAGTATTTCGCTCGCACAATTTCCTTCTCATCCGTCCGCATATGCTTGAGGTTGACTTCAATCGGATAGGTCTTGTCCTGACCGTCGTTGTTGAAGCCCGTGATAGTCCAAGGCCTTTGCACATCTGCCCCGTTCTTGTGTAGATCATCAATAAAGACCCTCTCTATTAGACCCTGATGCAAAAGGGTGGTGAAGGGATATCTTGCATCGATGAATTTCGGACAAGCAGCCCAATTTCCTGTCCTGTGGATACCGTTACCGCCTGATTGAGGATCCCAAAAAGCAACCTCGTAGACCTTAGCTGGCTGATGAGCCATTATCGGTCGCTTGAGATCCATATTCCGTAGCAGGTGCAGAGACCGTGGTTGAATGCCATCAGCTCGGCCCGTCAGGGTTGGCACCTCCCTGTTATCAATGTTCTTAATCTTGTAGCCCCAGCGCGCCAGACAGACTGAGAGCAGCAAGCCTACAGGCCCGGCGCCCACTATCACGATATCATACTTTTCTGATGAAGCGGCCATCCTTCAAATCCCCGATCTTCATGCGGGTATCAGAGATATCAAGAGAAGCTAGACTGTAGAGATAAGCGCTCAAAAACCGTTGCTGGATCCTTGTAGGCAGTTGTAGAGTAGGCTAACGGCGAGCACAGGTTACTCAAAGTGATTGTAACTGTTAAGTGAATCGAAGCAACGCCTGAGACGCATTTGTCAAGGCGGATCTGGTGTTGACAGCAACCTTCTGGATTTGACTTGAGGGGATGTAGGAGCTGTCATCGTATAGGGAGCAAGGCAGGTTTGTTCGGTGATTGGGCCAGTATGTAAGTGGGGCAAGAATTGGGATGGTGGTACAAGTAATCAGTGAGGTTTCGGGATGCCTTTCGGTAGTGATTTAGGCGCCTGAGAGCCAAGCAATTACTTTAGGCCTTCCCCACAACTGTAATTAAGCCCCCGCGAATCCAAATCAATTGCAGCGGAATGGTGAGGTCAAATCCTTCTTCGACGGTCCAAGGTGCGCTCATACTTTGGTCAAATATCTTTAACCAGTCGAGTAGAGTAATTAATGAAATGAAGATTCTGTGATCAAGGCTTTCGTTGTCGAGTCATAAACAACTGAGAGAAAATACATATTGCGATTTTCGCGGGCCCTCCGCGCAGTTGCACCCCGGGCCAAGGAGCCAAGTCCGAACTTCTCCTCGCTCGTCTATCATTGTTGAAATAGACTTGGTACATACTTGCACATGAAAGTAGGATGCAAGGTGACGTGTGGTAAGTCGCAGATGACCTTCTTAACGAAGGCTTTTCGATCACATCGCTTCGGCTTTGAAAAGGCCTGCCGTTCAACCAAGCAAGAAAGTCTGAAAAACACATTGAAGACATGGATCTTCTAATTTGGCCATCTAAAGGCAATTCCATGCCTTTCATCCCCATACTTGTGCTTGTTTTTCTCGGTATCTTATCTTTCCTGTACTTCCGTGCTTTTGGCGGTCCATTGGGACAAATTCCCAGCCCTCTTGACGCTCGCTTCTCAAGACTATGGATGATCCAGCATTCATGGCAAGGTAACATGCATAAGAGAATGCTTGAATTGCATAAAAGGTACGGGGAACTTGTTAGAACTGGTCCCAATGAGGTCAGTGCGGCTGACCAATCTGCCATCAAGAAGATATACACGGCTGGTACCAAGTTCTCAAAGTCCAATTGGTACGGGATCTTTCAGGGCCATAGAAAATTCGACTTGTTTGCAGGTTCGTCGTAGTCGCACTTCCAGAAAGCTTGGATATGGAAGTTGAACGTTTTAGAACATGATAGAACGTATCCATAGTTCCCAGCGTCGACTGGTCAGTCAGATATACTCGATGGAACCTCTCAAAGACTTGGAACAGTATGTCGAAGACGCTGTTGTACACTTAAGCAGTACCCCCTAGGCTAAGAAATCGACATGGGTCTTTTTGTTCAACTCTTTGCCTTTGATGTTATTGGAGAAGTGACCTTCTCGAAACGATTTGGTTTCATGGACATGGGCAGTGATAATGATTTCTTTGCCCAGGTTGAAGATGTGTTGCGCAGCGGCGCATGGTGGAGACAGATTCCCGCGCTTTACTGGACACATGACTTCCTGTCCCCTGTCATTGGCAATCACTTTAGTGTCACAGCCCATCATGGCCGACTAAGGGACTTTGCATCACAAGCGATTGAGGATCGGAAAACACATGGTAGCGATCACCAAGACATCCTAGCCAAGTGGTTGGAAGTACAGAAACAGCGACCGAACGAGATGAACGACGCCAATGTCCTCTCAATGGCAACCACCAACATCTCTGCCGGCTCAGACACCACTGCTATTTCAACAAGGCCAGTCATCTTCCATCTACTCAAGAACCCGTAATGCAAGAGGGAGCTGGTAGAAGACATTGACACGCAGACGAAAGAGGTGAAGTTGACGAAGCCTATCACTCTCGAGCAGACTAACCACATGCCCTACCTACAAGCTTGTCTGTATGAGGGTCTCCGCCTGCATCCTGCAGTTGGGATGAGCCTTCCGCGAGTCACTCCACGGGGCGGAGTTGAGATTGATGGTCACTTCATCCCAGAGGGCGTAAGTGTCCTAGCCAGCTGACCCGGAGAGCCTCTGCTGACTTCGACTTAGACAGTCATTGAGGCCAACCCATGGGTCGTGTGTCGAAACACTGAGATCTTTGGAGATGATGTCGAGGCTTTTCGACCAAAGCGATGGCTGAAGACAGGTGACATGGGTGTGGCATTCCTCTGCTTTGTACTTCCAACCTTGGCTAACAAGAATGTTCTCTAGAGAGGGTTTTCTTCGCGTTTGGTCAAGGGGCACGCGGCTGTCTTGGTTGGAGTACGTGCAACGACTTCTTTTTATCCCTCCCCGAAATCTATGTCGCCTGCATTGTCAGGTTCTTGCAGCTTTTCGAGCCTCCCCATGTTGCCTTTTTTCACTGTCCTCAAAGTTCCTAGTGGTCGGCAGTAGAGCGTTGTAGAGAGTATTGACTGACTGCGATACAGATATCAGCTGGATGGAGATGTCGAAGCTGATCACGACCCTCTTTCTCCACCTTGAAGTCGAGCTCACCGACCCCAAAGCTGAATTGAAAGAGCTTTGTTGATATGCACGTTGTCTTGCCCCTTGGCCACTAGATCACCAAAAGCTGATGTAGCATCTAGGTGGTTTGTGAAGCAAGAAGGTTTGTTTGTAACGTTACGACCGAGGTCAAAGGTCCATTAGACAACGTGTTTTACGAATCCTTATGGGGGGGGGGAGGATGACTTGTCGAAGGGGAGGATCATACCTTAGGCTACAAACACAAGTTCTTCATTTCTCCATATGCCGGATCTGGTTGGTAATCTTTTTAACGACTTCACTAGTAGTATTGAAATGTGGATGCAACATCTCATGTTTACTTCGAACCTTGAATTCAACATTTCTCGGTGGGAGCCGGCCTTTGAAGTGCCATATTTGATCTTCACTCCGAACCTTAGACTCGTCGTGTTACGGGCTACAGACCATGAAATGCTACAAATACATGTTGACTTCGAGTAAAGGAAGTGACCATTTCATAGAGAGCAGAACTTTCAAACAACACACTTTCTACTGACTTGGTACCCTGGACTTCACCCTTTTCGTGAGAGCAAGCTTTTGAAATATCACGCATTCATTCTTGTTTGGAGCTACTCCCTCAACTTTGTCGAGGACAACATAGCACCTGGCTACATTCACTTACCACCAAACATCACACTAGTCTTCACTTGAGATGTTTTTCTATTCACTTGAACAATGGATGCGGACCAACCTATTCAATTGACCCCCAAACAATCACACAATTCCGCTGAAGCTATTGATACTCAATCTACCAGCTCTAGCGATTTATCTTCTCATGAATATTGCAAACAACTTCTGCTCAACCTTACTCCCTATGTCTTGATCCCAGCAACACCAGCAAGACAAACATCGGAGTTTTTTGATAGTATCAACAACCTCGACCCAGTCAAATTCAGTCCGCCCGATTCTAATCAAACACACTTGAAGAAAGCAATGTCAGACGCGTGAGTGGTCCCTAGACGCCGGTCCAACCGGCCTCCTGCGGCATGAGAAGGTCACTGAAGCATTACAGGCACACCTCGTACAGCAGCTTCGCCAAGCTCAATCCATTCTACGACGAGCGCTACACTCAGATGGAAGACTTCTACGATTCTCAAGCATGGAAAGTTGGCACGGGGACTGGGAAGTCTCCACAGCCTCCACCCAAATATGGCCACCACAAGGGCCACAAATCGCCTGGCATGGCGCACTCGCAATCCGAAGGAAACATCGACTTTCGCTCTCGTGGAACTAAAGATCATAACCTTCGAGTCGGCAAGACTTTTGAGGGTGCTGCTGGCGATTACTACACCAGGTCGAGCGAGGATACCGATGCCTCATCCTCCTTCTCTCGCGGTCGCACTATTACTCGCACGCCATCTCCCGTCAAGGCTTTGGAAGACATCAAAGAAGATCAGGCATCCAACTCCCCTCCAAGTCCGACCAAGCGTTCCCGTTCACCTTTCAAGCAGATGTTTGGCGAGAAGGGATGGCTTGGCAGAAGCACGAGCATGAACGAGCTACCAAATGAGAAGTATCGCAAGACTGGTATCAAGCATTGGGGTGGTAAGATTAAGCAACGTGTTGAGAATCTGGTAAGTCTCATAATAAAAGACCCACCCAGCAACTCCATTGGCTTACGAGGACAGACCGAAGATGTGTCGAAGGTGTCAAAGTTCATACCAACGACCCTCTACCAGCACGAATCGCCATCCAAGTCTCCTTCCAAGACCAAATTCTACGTCTCCCTCAGTCCTCCTATGCAAGCAAAGCTGTACTCCGAAATGGAGCTCATGATCTGCGCCACAGCCAACCAGTACCTCAATGTCCAGCAGAAAGAAGGCCGCATGACCGTTGAGAGTCTCAAAAAGGTCACTGAGTGGTGGGCCAGCAAGAACCGCCCTCAAGTCATCGAGTTCATGTTCGACCAAGCCACACAGCGTGATTTGGTCCTCTACAACCTCAAAAGCTTTCGCTTCTATGGGCCAAACGCCGACAACTCCTTTCAGATGAACGCAATGATGCAATCCTGGAAAGCACTATCTCGTGATATGAGTGTGCGCACATTTTGCACGCCGGATAGCGTCATTAGGAAGCATACGCATGATTGCTACAAGATCTTGGAGATGCTTGGGGCGCCTTTGGTGACGTTTATGGCGTTCCAGGAGATTCAAATGAAGGCGTTGAAGGTCATGAGGGAGGAGCAGAAGAAGAGGGATGAGTATGAGGCTATCAAGTTTGGAGTTGAGAGGAAGTGGGAAGCACCTACGGAAGGGGCAGAGGAGAAGGAGTTGTATAACCCATTTGCCTGAGGGGGTCAACTTCTTGACTTCTTGATCGGCAATTTGGATCCTGGAGTCCTTCATCTTCGCCACGGGGATCAACGTACTTTCTCAGCATGCTACTTCAATGTCGCGATGGTCAGGGGCACGAAGGCGGCAGGAGCGACTTTTCGACTCGGATCTATTTACCTTCGTTTCACTCATTCGGTACACCCTTTTTTGCATGAATTGCGGTTGATCTTTCCAATCTACCGTTGGGCACCCTTTGGCATCTTTGAGATGTCCATTCTGCCCTTGCATCTTCGAACTTGAATGAAAGTGCAAGCACAATTTTCCTGCGGAGTTGTTGCCGCAAGAAGCTTCGGAGTGTTGTACATAGACCGAATTTGAGATTATACAAACGAAGTTAGGATCAGAAGGCATTCAGAGACGCTATAAGGGGTATATGTTCATGAATTGCAACTGAGATATTAGTCTTCTTCATGTGGATAATTCATGGTCGTTGCTGCCGGAATTGCTCGCTGCAGAGTCACCCCGCGCATGCCCCACCTTGTTAAAGGGTCTGTCGACCAGCACTTTCCTTGCTTTCCTTTGACTGGCATAATGAAGTGTACGACTTTCCTTTTTGTTGCATAGACTGCATATATTACCAGCAGCAGCTTCTAACCACTCTTTTAATACTCTCTCTTCCCTTGGCCGGGTTCCAATTTTCAACTCTGTTGATCCACCTGCAGGACAGGCAACAATACTCTTAATGTTTGGCTAAGCCTTCGTACCGTTCCCTCCAACTCATGATAGCTACAGCTAGTACCCTATAGCTACGATGGCTGCGTCAATAGGCCACACATACAGCCCGTCATGCATGCTCCACCAAGCTTCCAACGAATTCACTCGACGGGCTTCTGTAGCATCGACCGACCCTCCCAAAATCAGCGCCCAGTATTTTTACTGCTCATCTTTACCCATCGACGACCCTCTTTCGCCCGTGCCTCCTTCCTCCAGTAATCCAGCCAACAAGTCCTCAAAAGTTCCGCCCAGACCTTTCTCCGTCCACGACAATATCGCGTTGGAAGACGCCTGGCTAAGACTCCAGCAGCCTGTTAGCTCCAAGAAGGATGCACCTGGGTCGAGGTTCAATACCACAAATGTATCTCCCAAGAACCAGGAGCACATAGCACAAATAATAAGAGATGCGCACGAGAAGCAGGTAGTTGAACCGGGAAAGACAAACAGCCAGGGCTTCGAGGCTCTGGAGGCCATGCCCGATAACAGGAATGACATGATTCACAGAGCGATTGGCAATGCCACACACCCGGCTGGCCTCGGAAAGGAACATCGACCGGCAAGCCCAGACTTGACGCTGTGCGATGATCCAGAGCACATCCCGTTCGATGAGACCATGCCGGTGAGCTCAGAGGAGATTGGCAACGACGAATTTGAGAGCGGTATCGTAAAAAAGAAAAGAAGCTGGAGTCCTTTCCGCCGAAGGGACAAGTTCGAGAAGCCCAAAGGAACAGACGATGCAGTACCTTCCGAGACCCTGTCCCCGGGAATAAAGGACGCTGGCAATGTAAACCTTAGCTCGAGCCTTTCGGGACGAGATACAAGTGGCACGCCTTTCCTAAGAATCCCTTCTCGCATTCGCGGATCACGGTCACGTAGACGTTCAGGCTCGCCGGAATCGCGTCTGTCAGCGCCAGAACCGCCCCCCTCAACGCCAGAACTGGGTCAAGCTGATGGTGCTCGGTCTCCAGAAAATTACCATCCGAAAACGTCATCTCCCCTGAGACCCACGTTCCAAAAAGCCAGTTCTAGTCACTCAAGTGATGATGAAGAAGGCTCGAGGCTAGACACCGGTTCCCGAAAGCATTCGCTGCGCCCCAAGCAACCTAGGATCCAAGTTCCTGAAGAAGCTCACGTGGCTGTGGGGATGCTCCGATTGCACGTGGTTCATATGCCAAGCTTAAAGGTGAGTACCCAATCCATAGTTTGGGATCCCGCCAAGTGCTCACTTGATTAATATAGATGGGGCCCATATATTGGGATCCAGTCCACGACGTCTCGTCTGTTATTCGCGGGACCTGGTTTTTCAAGGACACAATGATGCCTATCGAGTCTGACCTTGCGAATCGGATCGAAGAAGGCTATGAGTATATAAGACCGTGGACCCGGGCATACGTTGAAGAGTTGGACAGCTGTATGGAGTTTGGTCCTGAGGCCGAACTCAAAATCATCCTCAAATTATGGCCAGATGCTCCACTGGCCGATCAGGTTCGACCAACTACGGGCAAAAGCAGTCGCTTGCTAATCGAACCCGCAACAACGGAACTCGGGCCTGAAGAGCAGAAGCTGCAGCAAGCCATAGTAATTGCTGAGATGTCTGAGAACAAGGCCACTGGCGTTCTTGACGGCTTCACTTCCTCTCACACGGAACTAGCGGACGCTAGTATCATCTACGCCAATGGCAAAGACGCCCAAATTTTGAGGACAAGCCAAATCCCTTCCGTTTCCCGTGGACGGAAACCACTGGGAAATATTCGCAAGGGCAAAGCTGTAGGGATACCTGTAGTTCGCGGGTTTGATATGAAGGCCTGGGAAAAGCTGCATCCACCAACCAAGAAAGCTGCAGCTATCGTCCAAGCTCAGAAAGTGGCCCAAGAAATCAAGAAAGCTGGCACAATATCTCCCGTGGAACCGACGTCATGTATTGCTTGCGCGTCTGCAGACGAAAGGCCGAAGCCCACTGATTTGGTACTGGTCATTCATGGGTAGGTGTCAACCGTCTCCATCAGAGCCCTCCTCTGACAGACATTGTACTAGGATTGGACAAAAGCTTTCCGAGCGCGTTGAAAGCTTTCATTTCACACACAACATCAATCGCTTTCGCAGGCAGATGAATCTGGAACTCGAAGCTGATCCGGTCAAACCCTGGTTGCGTCAAGACTTGGGAAGTATCATGGTTTTGCCTGTAGGTCTTGCAGACAACTAAAATTGCGTTGCTCCCGTGTTAACGATTATGAAGATTAACTGGCGTTCCAAGATGAACCTGGACGAAGGAGGTCCGGAACCTAATCCCAATCAGAAGGAGGCCGACTCTCCTAAAAATCAGTTTGCTCTGAGGGATATCACTGCAGATTCTCTACCGGCGGTCCGAAACTTGATCAGCGATGTCATGCTCGACATTCCGTACTATCTCTCGCACCACAAGCCCAAGATGATTGAGGCTGTCATCCATGAGGCCAACCGTGTTTATCGATTATGGTGTAGCAACAACCCAGATTTTCACGAGAATGGGAGAGTCCATCTCATTGCCCATTCTTTGGGCAGTGTGATGTGTCTCGATATTCTGAGCAAACAGCCGACCAGATTGCCCAGACAGCTCGATCTTAAGGCCAGTAAGGCTCGTACCGACATCTTCGAGTTTGACACCAAGGGTCTTTTCTTCTGTGGCAGCCCAGCTGGATTTTTCTTACTCCTTAATAAGGCACCTCTAATACCTCGCAAAGGTCGAGACAAGCCAGGTACAGAAGGCGAAGACAGCAATGGCAATGTTGCTGGTGAAGCCAGTACTTATGGTTGTCTCGCAGTGGATAACCTCTACAACGTCATGCACTACCTCGATCCAGTCGCCTATCGGCTCAACGCATGTGTCGATGTTGATTACGCAGCGGCGCTAAAACCTGCTTCCGTTCCCAGTGCTACGGAAACCTGGGGTCAGTACCTGGGCTCAGTCTTCCGCAGCAAATCGAGTGTACCCACAAGGAACATGACCGGCTTGGACACAATGCCGAGGCGTCCCACTGTCGCGAATATGCCTTCGACTGTGGAGTTGGAAATACATAATTTCACGCAGGAAGAGATCGCGGAGAAGCGGATGTTCCTCTTGAACGATAACGGGCAGATAGATTACACTTTGCGTTCTAGTGGGGGCGCTCTGGAGATCCAATACCTCAACATGCTTAGTGCGCATAGTAGCTACTGGACTATGCGGGACTTTGTGAGGTTTCTTGTGGTGGAGATTGGGAGGAAGCCTGGGAAGTCGGAGACGATCAACTCATTGAAGGCGGCGAAGAAAGCCTTTGGGACGAAGTAATGGATGGGTATGGTTCTTGATGGGGATCCGATGGCAATGGGTGGTAATGTGTTATGATTAGAATGACTGATGGCTTGCATTGCTACGGTGCTCATGCTTTAGGACGGTTTGGACCTTGCGTTATACCCTAGAAAGCACTGGTTCTATTAGAGCATGACCACTTTATTACTATCGTCCAAGGTTTTGCAAGGATCCAAGGCTGCACGCGCGCTCTTTGCATTCGTTCTCGATCTGGCATTTCAAACATGCACATGCTGAAGGCTGACTTTTCCAACGCACAGCTCGTTCATTCGATCATCGTCCAATCTATTCACCGAACAAATGCATGGATGTTCCCCTTTTAAATTCCCCGAAGCACAATTCGTCAACACCTCATCATTCGCCCTTCACCCCTCGCCCCTCCCTTAATCACCACCAATCCCACCAAAGGCAATCTCAACATGCTTCTCCTCAATCTCCTCCCCCAGCTCATCCCACCGCCGATGACACTCGTTCGCCTGCTTCTCCACCTGCTCTATCTGATCCCTCAATCGGTACATCTGCTCCAGATTCGCATTCGGAGTCTGCCATCCCTCGTTCTCTGCCTCAATGTGCTCGAGGGATTCGACGAGCCGTTTCTGGTGGCCGGTGATCCTCTTGAGGGCGGCGACGACCGAGTGGCGTTCTGCTTGGAGCAGGGCGATCTCGTACTTGGCTTGTGCTTGCTGCTGGCGTTCGGCGCGGAGGGCGAGTTTGGCTTGGGCGCGCTCGTAGGGCGTTTGTTTCGAGGGCGGCGGCATTGTTGGGTGGATTGGCGGAGGCATTGTGGCTTGCTGTGGTTGTGGTATGGTGGGTTGGAATGAATGGAAGGGAAAGAGGTCTTTTGGTGGAGGAATTCCGCTGTGAATTGGGAAGGCGCGATCCATTTTTGACGTGAGTGACGGTGTCATGAAAGAGTTGTGTCGATGCCGAGGATCGATGTGTTGGGAATTTTCAACACAGGTGAGGCAATACTTTTGGTGTTAGGACCAATGACGGGTGGGACGTTGAGGTGCAATTTCCGTCGTGTCACCAGGTCGTCGACCGGAAGATCGTGACCAAATCCAATTGGTCCGATGAACATTCACTTTCCATATCCGGGACCTCATTTTCGAACACTCACATTCAGGCAAACTCAGCTTGAACACTATTAAAGCTCATCATGTCCACCGTGACGGTCAACATGACTGATCCTCTAAACAACACAACATCCAACACAGAACATTTCCCGGAAGAGTAAGCTGGTCGACCCTGTGTGTCAGTTCCCTGACACTGTCCTTCCAACTTGTCCTCATACACTAACCCATTCCAGCAATCCCAACATGGAGAGTAAACCCGCTAACACGTTCACGGGAGCAGCAAAATTGCTTCCGCAGCAGCTGGTCTTGCCAGACGCCGCAGAAGCGCTGAAGAGGGCGAAAATCGAACGCTTTCTGCGGGGAACGGCAACGTTCGAACAAGAGCAAGGTAAACAGCCTTAGTTGCTGCGGCTGTCATCTCAGACTCACTTCCATTTTCAGAGGCCAAGGCCCATGCCTCCGCGGCAGCTCCATACTTCAATCTTCCAGCCAGAGGACAATCAATGTGCGCATATGAACTCCCTGTGGGTCTTGGCCATATCTCAGGTTCCCTGAAGATCGATGACCCTCCCACACCAATGCGCATCGGGAACCTCTCCACATTCATTCAGAAGACGGATCCGTTAACCGGAATAAAATATTGGGTTGGCCTCACTTGGGCTGAGATTTTCTTTCCCGTCTTGGGCGAAAGACCAAGCAGTGTTGCGGGGAGCAAGGCCTATGAGGTTGTCCTCAAGCAGCCGATCGAGGATGGTGGCCACATAGTTCGGGAAAACGTGGTCACGACTGGGAGGGTTGTTGGGGTAGTCGTTGCTGAATTGCCTCATGAGACGGTCTCTGTGAGGATCCAGGACTGGTTTTCAAAGAGCGATATGTTCAAGAAGGGTCGTTGGAACCAGCTGGACATTCAAGCTAGAGATGGAGCGGGTGCGGATTTGGCTGTTACGCATGGAGCACTGCGTGGAGGAAACAATGAAGAGAATTCGGTGAGGGCAAGCTGTGACGAGACCCAGCGTTGATGGCAAGGTAACAGACAGCGGATCGATTGCTGCACGGTATTGCCTATTGCAGCAATCGAAGTAGAGTACGATGCGACCTTGAATCGAAGAAGCAGATGGGAGAAACCATAGAAGAACCTTCTCAAACAGGAGAATTACTCTCAACCTGCAACTGGGAGCCTTGAAACTGACTCATAAACCCCTCAGACGGTCGTGCCTCTGATATTCTTCCTTCATTACCAGAAGATCATGCCATACTATCTTCGTCCTGCAGGTACCTAGGATGATAGGCCTTCATGAATGTTCTGAGGACGGATTTCGCCATCAACTTTCCCCTCCACTTCCCCCCTGATCCTCTCAAACACCGTCACCCCTTCCACTCCCAACGCTGTTCCTACGCCTACAGCTGCGGCACCTACAATCCTCATTCTTTTATAGCCATATGCATCACTGACACCTCCCACGCCAATGATTTCAATGTGTTGGAGCAGCTCATGCGCGTCTAGCATGCGACGTATCGTTGCTACATTGCCCAGAGCCAGAGGATGAAGCGCAGAGCCTGCAAGGCCCCCTATGCCAGTGCCGGTTGAGGAATTGAGTGCAGGTGTCAGAGAACCAGAGAGGACGAGGGAGGAACCAAGAGTATTGGTTGCTGTGATGAATGAGATCGGGCAGCGACCTTTGCTCGATGCAAGGAGCGCGGAGATGAGTTCGTCGAATTGTGTTTGGTAAGTGTACGGTGGTGTCTTGACGCCCACCTTTATGGTTCCCCAACCACCAGGGTCCGCGTCAACCAAAGGTATCAGGTACTTTAGTAGTTCATCCCTGGAGTACGCGGGCGGTGGTTTCCCAGCAATGTTCGGGCAGGAGAGATTGATCTCCATCAATAGTCTTGCGGAGATGTCATGAGTTTGGTTTAGATTGAGTTGTAGATGCGACATGCTACGGTAATGATCAAAAACTTCCTCGGCCGATCCGGCTACGGAGATGATGATTGGTTTAGTCGGACGACCCTCTAGCTGAAGGCTTAGCAGTAGGTCCTTTATGATCTTCAGATATTCATGGACGGAGAAAGGGCTGTAGCCAAGAGTATTGAGACTCGAGATTGAATCGGCAGGGATGCTGCCTTGAGGAGGAGGAAGGGGAGGAGGAGGAGGATGAGCTTCGCTACTGTGACCTCTTATTGCATGACTTGTGGGCTCGAAGAAGCAGTACTGATGAGTAGCATCGTCATGCCGGAATCCGTTTGCAAGAGCAGTGCGGGTGGTTACGGCGCCAGTATGTGGGCAGTTGTACAAGGCTTCGAGATCTTCTTTCGTGGTTGCCCATGGGTTTGCTGAATTTAGCAGTGGAGGATCAAAACTCAAAGGCCGATTCGGTGACGCTTCTGTAGCTTTCGAGAGAGTTTCCGATACATATACGGGCATTATGGTTGCTGTGAAGCAATCAAGTCGCGACAGATGGAGGAGTATGTTGCTTGACAGAACACACTGAGTGGTAGGATTTTTATGAGGTTCTTTCACGTCTTGAAGGTCCTTTATTCATCACGTTATCCTTTTCCAAATCATGACTGTTCGGAATCCTCATGGACTTCATTGCAGAGATGGATCTACATAATACCAAGGCAAATGGTGGTGTTTCGGTACAAGTAGCTGAGCGACTGTTCCGATTCCCGTCACCATCATAAAAACACTTCCATCGCTAATCCAGACCAGATGAAAGGTTTCCCTTAACAACTCTATTAAATGCTCATTCTGAGCCAGATTGAAAGGCTCGACCTCGTGCGCTGTGTGATGGGTCTATGATGCAAATTGCTCCATCCGCTAATCCTCTTAATGATGCTGCGTGATTGTATGGGCGGACTTTTGATGGGGTGATTGGGGAATTAACACCCGCCGCTAATCACGCTCCCGTGACCCCCTGATTTGTGCCGAATCTCACGCAAGATATCTCCCGCCGCTAGTCTATAGCGCATACCTTAAGTTGGTTTGGGCTGACCAGAGCTCCTAGCGTGCTTGGCACAGGACATCCAGCGCAATGGCGGAAGCTACGGTACGGAGAGTCTTCTACGGCCTTCGAACTTCCATTTTGTCTCTCAAGATGGGTTGTCCTGCGCCGCCACCAAATATCAGCCATGCAGGACACGGCTGCTCTGGCCGCCCTTGTCGTCGCAATCGTTGCTCTCGTCGTTGCAGCTGCCCAGCTTACACAACAAGTCATGGCAACGGCATACGTGATTCGGAAATGCGATCGTATCGTCACAGGCGGCCTGAGCAAAGGCGGTATCCGGCAATGGCACTGGCGTGAATTTCGTTTCACTGTCAAAAATCAAGCCATCGTCTTTGCTCTGCCTACATCTATCTATTCGGCGCTTGGCGTTAGACCGACTGTGCAAGACGATACACCAACTCTGGAAATCTGGCATAAAGTAAATAAGATCCGGAAACTTCGAAAGTCTTCCCAAGGCTGCTGGATCTCGTTTGTGCAGGACCTGGTCGTGTTTACTTGTCTCCGTCCGGAAGATGTTTGTGTCAAGGAAGAAAGCGGAGATCGGGTATCCGATGACCTTACCGTAGCACCAACTCGAGTGGATACCATCACGGTTATGCTGACATGCATCGCTATGGGCATGCAAGTTTCCCGATACTCACCGACGACAGGAGAAATCACATTAGCCTGAGGAGTTGGTGGTGTCTCATCGTCTGTACATCCTGTCTTGGGATGCTTGCTTCACTACAGCGTCTTTTCCAATGAGCCGGTCGGTTTCGAGACCGCTAGACGGCATGGCCGTGCTTTGCGTCAGGAGCACGGTGTTTGGGCCAACGCTGTCTTCGGAAGGTTCATGGATCGATCCTGTCGACCCGAGATGATGACGCTTGAAGTCCTTTCATCGCGAAAAATGGGTGATTTACAAGCAAATGGCTGGCCGGAGAACAGCTGCAACGATACGATCGGTGGCGCTGCATGCTTCATGGCCTTTGCACATGTGGACGTAGGTTTGTTTCCTCGCAGTCGCTAATCTAATCTTGTTACATTATGGGCTGCAGAATATGGTCTGACAGTAGAGGTTCACTTACTCTTCTTCGGAGAATATCTTTTGAGTCCTTTTTCGCTTTGTAGAATGCCATATTGACATCAGAACCCTGGTGACCCCGCAGGCATACAAGGCCGTCCCACCATCTGTCGTTCGACCCTGGTGTGCACCTTTCGCGGAAGCCATTGTGGAGGCACATCATGTGGAGATCATAGAGAAGATGTTGCAACCCGAAGACGCCTTTGTCATTCCCCCCGAGCTCAGTGCATGCAGGCAGTCTTTCAATGAAAGACATGGGTGCTCCTCACCCCACCTTCAGTGGGAGAACATCAATGACAGAACAGAGTCTTCCTCCGAAAAGTTGATACCCGGTCCGTCGGTTAGTGACAATTTGCTTCGTCACATCGAATTTCAAGACGTGCTTGCGGTTCACGATTTGCTCGTCGGTCTGAACGCCAGTCGGCCGCGACCTTTCACCATTAACCTAGAGTTCGATGAAAGCGACCCTAGTGTTTACGTTTCAATGGCTACAGCATGGGAGATCATAATGCGAATCCGAAGGATCTCTGTTCATGTTCAAAAGATATGATTTAAGTAGAGTAGATGAAGTGATGATAGCTCTTTGCATGGGAGTTGGCGCCCATATCAGCCAAGAACCAGTACCTTTGAACCTGAGTTGGGGTTTTTGAGCCTCCTCTTCCATGACGAAATCTTGTATCGTCTGTCTGAAACCTTGCTCTTTTATCACGACTGTGTTCTGAATCACTCAGGCTCGCGTGACTCTTAGCCGCATCACGCGTACATGAACCGGCGGGGGTTTCACTCAACATTTCTGAACGGCTTGGCGCGTCGCTTCAGCAACCGTCCATCTGGCGCTAGCGAACGTCATATCGATCCCTTTGTTGAAGACCTCTCCGGATCTACACCACCACCACCATCACCCATCTTTACCGCGCAAAGACCACACACAACATGCCTCCCACACGCCGCAAGCCCTCAGGCACCGCCGCGCGCGCCCAACAAACCCTCGCCTTCGGCCCCAACCCGAACAAAGTCACCAAACCCTCCCAGCCCGCCGCCGGCAACAAGAAGAAGAAACCCTCCCCCCCCGCGCCCACGGATGCGGAAAGACTCCAAAAAGCCGCCGCGGACATCTCGACGCCGTCCCCCGGCCCGGAAGAGGAGGACTACCCCCCGCGGCCGGAAGCGCAACTGGAAAGCCCTCGGGCCCTCGCGATCCGGGGCCAAGGCGGCGGCGCCGCCGCGGACGTGGGGGTCGGGAAGAGCGAGGCCGAGGAGAAGGGGGGTCGGGTGTCGGACGCGCAGGTGAGGAGGTACTGGAAGGGCAAGGAAGAGGAGAGGATCGCGCCGCGGGTGCACCAGGCGGGGCTGAGCGTCAACGAGAAGATTCTGAGGCACTTTGACCTCTCGAGTCAATACGGCGTAAGCTTCATCCATCCCACCTCGTGACCGCACTGCTTTCACGTCAAACGGAACGGGGGCAATGCTGACCGCGTTTTTCGGGGGGCCTACAGCCCTGCATCGGGATCCCGCGGATGAGACGGTGGAAGCGGGCGGAGACGCTGGGGCTCGGGCCGCCGGTGGAGGTGTTGGGGGTGCTGGTGAAGGAGGAGAGGAGCGGGAATGGGAAGGCGGAGCGGGCGTTTATGGAGGGGCTGTTGACGAGTAGGCTTGCCGTGAACGAGTGAGGCCGGCAGGATGGGCGTCGAGAGGGTGGTATACAGGGGGATCGAGGACTGCGGTCATCGAAGTTCAGACGGTTTTTGCACTGCGAGGAGCGAATCGAGGCTACTTTGCCACCTGCAGCCGGTTGCATTGGGCTACGGCATTGGCTAGAAAGCCTGGACACGCCGAGTCACGTTTGATTGAAATCAATTCATTAACGGGGAAAGTTGGAGTCCACGATTAACAATAATGCATTGACGTGAAATGACTAGCAGCTGCTTGGTACCCCTTGGATGACAATGGACAAGGCCGATCCACTAAAGATTACATTGAACGCCTGGTAAATGATCCATGTCTATGGCATACACGAAAATTGACACAGATAGCTCTCAAGCTGTTGAACTTGCATGGCGCATTTTCTGCCACTGTAACCATCCGCTTTTGCGTATCTGTACGATCTATAAGCTGACCTCAACTCTTCCCTCGTTCCCAGGGTTAGCGCCTTGTGCCAAGTTTGGTAGCAGGTAAGTAATATCATCCCAAGGATGTCTATACAGACCGGTGCGCAGACGCTTCTGGTCAAGGTAATGCGCAATCAAACCAATACTCCTACCAAGCACGAACAATCCGTTGAGCACACCCATGTTCAGGTAGTCTTCGGCTTCCTCGGGGCTGAAGGCGCCGCAGTTTCGCATCAGGTCAACAAAGCAGACTGCGACGCAGCCATCGACGTTGAGAATGAGATTGTCCTTCTTTGAGGTAGTGACTGTCTCGACAGCGATGGCGTAGTCGAGCATCTTGCAGCTAGGGAAGCGCTTCTTGACGAACTCTTTGACTAACTCCACACGAAGATCGGGGTTATTGCGGGACTTGACTTTGTGGCCGATACCGGGAACTGTACTTATCAGCTATGGATTCGAAAAGAGATAACCTCGGACAGCATACTTAGCTTGTTCTCTTTCCTCATAGTGTCGACGAAGTCACGTGGACTAAGACCCTTGTCGAAGGCCTTGGTGAATTCTTCTGCTGCACCATCTAAAGCACCACCAAATCTCGAGCCAATGGTAAGAAGACCAGAAACCAAAGCGCTGATAAGATCCTTTCCTGCTCTTGTGGTAATGATGGTGTTCATAGCTCCTGATACAGCTGGACCGTGGTCGGCAGTCAACATGAGGACCATCTCAAGGAATCGGCTAGCATATTCTGGAAGACGACGACGGAACCAAAGCAAGGACATCACACCACCAATACCGATTTCCTCTTTGAAGACGTCAGAAATTGGCATCCCAGCATACAACAGCTCCTGGCCACGGTCATCGGAGATGGTTGAAATGAAGGCAGCTGGTTTACGAATGAGACCGAGCTCTTGTGCCCAGGAGTAGTCGATGGGGATCTTTGGTGGGACTGGCTCTGCTTGCGGCTTAATCGTCCCTTTCTTGACAAGAGTCTGGTAGACGGACTCGAGGAGGTCGGGCATATCTTCAAATGTATCTGGCACGTGGAACCCAGCGTCTTTCATAGCCTTGTTCTTGGACACCGCAGTCTCCAGCTGAGAATTGGCAGACGAACCAGCGTGACCGAATTGAACTTCAGTCTTGAACATGCTCGCGCAGGTACCGATAGCCCATGCCACGATAGGCTTTGTGATCGTGCCATTCTTAACCGCCTCGATTACGCGATACTCTTCAACACCACCCACCTCTCCGAGTAGGAGGATAAGCTTGCACTCAGGGTCAGCTTGGTATCGAAGAATGTGATCGATGAAGGTAGTTCCCGGGTAGCGATCGCCTCCAATGGCGACACCTTCGTAGACACCATTGGTGGTATTGCATACGATGTTGTTCAGCTCGTTGGACATGCCTCCAGACTTTGAGACGTATCCAACAGAGCCCTTGCGGTAGAGTTTCGACGCGACAATGTTATCCATCATCCCTCCTGTGTTTCCGATCTTGTACGAGCCAGGTTTGATGCCTCCAACGGTGGCAGGACCAATTATCGTGATGTCCTTCTTTCTGGCGACGTGGAGGATCTCACGGGCACGTCGCTCAGGAACACCTTCGGCAATGATGGCGATTGACTTGATTTGAGGGTAGTTCATCAATTCCATCGTGGAGCTGTATACACTTCGGGAAGATGCAAAGTTAACCACAGTGTCCACGTCTCTGTGCTTCAGCATTGCCTGCTCGACATCTTGGTAGACAGGCAGCAGAGTCTCGCTAGTTCCCCAATACCTGCAATTGCAACCATTAGTCTTCAAAATCCTTGCAAAGGGTCCGCCGAGCACGAGATCTCACATCTTGCTGACGAATTGACCTCCGAATGTGTAGATGATACCAGCAACTGAAGGTGTCTTGCGCTTGCAAATAAAATCGAAGTCCAGCATTCCCTGTACAGCGCGAGGTTGTAGACCACTGCATGAAAAGTTAGCAGATGTATTGATGTGGAGATGTTGGCCTTGGGAGGCTTACTAGACGAAGCATCGTGTCTTGTCATTGAAGAGCATGTGCTCTGCTCTTGGGCTCATCGACCTACTGGGAGCTGCGAAGCGCCGAATGTTGTCGTTTGCGGATGCGCCAGCAGACGCAGGGCCGGTCCCGTTGGTTGTGCCATTGGTTTGAGGTGCAGAGGTGCTGGCCATTGGCGTACCGTTAGTAGTTGGGGCAGGCATGATGAGGGTAAAGGACAGATGAATGAAGTGAAGAAAAAAGAGAGAAAGATTGGTCTAACACCACAAGTGTCAGCTCAGAAGCGGCATATTTAATGCCGGAGATAGTGGTGTGCAAAATGCATGCTAGCTTACTGGATTTGGACCTTCGGAGACCGGAGTAAGAAAGGCGGTGTCACGACTTCAGTGGAGGTGGAGCGGATTGGTAAGAGTAAGACTGCAGCTGCAGGCAGTAAGTCTCCGATACTCGGGTTATACCTTTTTCATGTAAAAAAAGAAGAAGAAGAAGTATTGGAGGCCTCTCGGAACAATGTTTTTTGGGGATAAAAAGGATAGAAGATAGATAATTAGTTGGTCGAATTGGAGTGAGAAAAGTATTTTCCAGTTGAGCTCCCAAGTCCTCACCAGTCACCACCGAACCCTTGTCCTTCCGTCGTTGAGCTTTCAATCTGGGGATACTAACCCGGATTAGGTAAGCCCGTTTGCAGCTTGCTTACACGACAAATGCTTGGATTTTGAGGCCGAAAATTCAAATTGCCAGCGGTGTTTGTTCAATCTTTCAAAACTTGGACATCAACATCATCGGTATCAGTCATTGAGATCAATTGCATCTTGTATGCACAATATCAAACCTTTTCTTTTTCGGTCACCGAATTTAGACTCGCTAATCGAACAATTAGCCCGCAGATTCCGCTACCCAACGGCGAATTTTTTGCGCTTTGCCCGACATTCCACTAGAAGAGCTTCCTCACCAACAAGCTACCTTATATTTGCCAAATTTTCGATTGCAAGTGCAACACATAATTGGAACACTTTCTACTCCTCCCAAGTTCTCACGACTGCATAGATAGATACTACCTGTACCTCAACTATCGCCCAGCTCCAAGCTTGAATAGCGGCACCAGATGTGAATGATGCCTCCGGATCCTTCGATCCCACGAGGTAGACAGCTGCTGACACTCCATAGCCTACATTTCGAGTACTACTTCTCGCAATGGCCGCCAAGTCGATCCTCGAAGCAGACGGTAAAGCCATTCTCAACTACCATCTCACTCGAGCTCCCGTTATTAAGCCCTCCCCATTACCTGCTGCCGCAACCCATAACCCGCCCTCAAGACTTGCGTCTCTCTACTTCCCAGAGGATGCCGACGTCCGCGGAATCCTCGACCAAGCTGAAACCACGTACCCATGGCTACTGCTAAAAGACGCAAAATTTGTTGCCAAGCCAGATCAATTAATCAAGCGTCGGGGCAAGAGTGGTCTTCTAGCCCTCAACAAGACATGGTCCGAGGCAAAGGAATGGATCGCCGCTCGCGCAGGAAAGGAGCAGCAAGTTGAAACAGTGAAGGGCTATTTGAGGCAATTCCTCGTCGAGCCTTTCGTTCCCCATCCGGAGGGCACCGAATACTATATCAACATCAACTCGGTGCGAGACGTAAGTTGCGCCCTTGCGATTCCGCATACATTGGACCCTTGAGCTCGCATAAAGAACGACCTTGGGATTGGCTCAGTCATCCAAGACCGCGGCTGATACAAGTTATAGGGAGACTGGATTCTATTCACACATGAAGGTGGTGTCGACGTTGGCGATGTCGACGCAAAAGCCGAAAAGCTTCTCATTCCCGTCGACCTCTCAGAATACCCATCAAACGATGAGATTGCATCCGTGTTGCTGAAGAAAGTCCCCAAAGGTGTCCACAACGTTCTCATTGACTTTATCACAAGACTGTACGCCGTCTACGTCGACTGCCAATTCACATACCTCGAAATCAACCCTCTCGTCGTCATTCCCAACGCTGAAGGCACATCCGCCGAAGTCCACTTCCTCGATCTGGCCGCCAAGCTCGATCAGACCGCTGAATTTGAGTGTGGTGTCAAATGGGCTGTTGCTCGAGGCCCAGTAGCTCTGGGCCAACCGGTGATCAAGGTCGACAAAGTCAGCATAGATGCGGGCCCACCAATGGAATTTCCAGCACCTTTCGGACGTGAAATGAGCAAAGAAGAATCGTACATTGCTGAGCTAGATGCTAAGACTGGTGCCTCGCTCAAGCTTACGGTGCTGAATTCGAAGGGTCGCATTTGGACTCTGGTCGCTGGAGGTGGTGCCTCTGTCGTCTACGCTGATGCCATTGCTTCCGCCGGCTATTCAGACGAGCTTGCCAACTACGGAGAATACTCTGGTGCTCCAACAGAAACCCAGACATTTTACTACGCTCGCACTGTTTTGGATCTCATGCTTCGTGCTCCAATCAGCCCTGAGGGTAAAATTTTGTTTATTGGCGGCGGTATTGCCAACTTTACAAACGTAAGAAGGCGTCGCCCCAAATTCTCAAAGCTTGAGAACACTCATCACGTGCT